ATTTGACTTTCTTCATTTTCATTTTATTTTATTTATATACCGCCCTACTCCTGAAGGACTCAGGGCGGTGAACAGGCACAAGATAAAACACATAGAATACAAAAATTTAAGAGCAGAAGTAAAATCGAATTAAATCAATTTAGCCCAAGACAAATTTAAAACCCCAGGTTAAGAACAAATTAAAATTTACATTAAAATTTACATTAAAAAGAGAATGGGAGAGGTTAGGCCAGACCAGCCTGGTGAAATAAAAAGGTCTTGAGAGCGCGGCGGAAGGTGTGTAGATCCGGGATCCTCTGTATCTCCGGGGGGAGCTCGTTCCAGATAGTAAGTGCCACCACAGAGAAGGCTCTCCCCCCTGGGAGCCGCCAGCCGACATTGTTTGGCCGATGGCACCCAGAGGAGTCCCTCTCTGTGAGAGCGTACCGGCCGGTGGGAGGCCGTTTGTGGCAGAAGGCGGTCTTGTAGATACCCCGGCCCTAAGCCATGGAGTGCTTTAAAGATGGTAACCAAAACCTTGAAGTGCACCCGGAAGACCACCGGGAGCCAGTGCAGCTCGCGCAGGAGAGGTGTTACATGGAAGCGCCACGTTGCTCCCATAACCACCCGCGCGGCCGCACTCTGCGCCAGTTGGAGCCTCTGGGTGCTCCTCAAGGGGAGCCCCATGTAAAGAGCGTTACAGTAGTCCAGGCGGGAAGCGACGAGGGCATGAGTGACCGTGTTTAAGGAGTCCCGATCCAGAAAGGGATGCAACTTCATTAGTTCATTCTTAAGAGGGTGGCCTCCTCTGGTGAGAAACTGTTGGCATCTTCACCTGTGCTTGGCAAGAAATAAGGGTCTCACTTTTCCAGGAAGATCCTCTGAAGGGAAAACTGCTACTTGGTTACTTGGAAATTTAAGGCCCATTCTTTAAGGTACATTCAACAGGCATCCTTTTTTGATAGTAGTATTCATGTTTACACCCCCATTTATGTTGACCTATAGCAGCCACTGGTCTTTTACTCTGCATTGGAAAGGGGTGTGTGTGTGGAATTGTCCCAGTCCCAGTTCTCCCATTAAAGAACTGGAATGCACTGGCAATTCATAGCCGCCCTTTTTATGCATTAACATGGGTAGTTAAAGCATAAGAGAATGCCTGCCCAACTCTTATGTGTTGTGGCCCGCCAGCTGCCAGCAGAGCTGGTGGCAAACTCGGACGATGAGGAGGTTGGGGAGGAACTTGGGCCAGTTCTGGAATCTGGGGAAGGCTCTAATGGATGCTCAGCGTCGGACGCAGAGTTAGAGCCAGGGCAGTCTGACATTTCCCAGCCACCGGAGAGGCAGCTGCCTTTGGAGGCTGAGATGAGTGAGGAGGAAGAACAGCTGGGGCCTGTTCCAGATAGACATATGCGCAGAGCAGTTAGGAGAGGGGAACAACGGAGGACAAGGAGTCGACTTGGGAAGCAAGGCATACGTGGACGTTGAATGGCCCCTCCCTGACGGGGAATAAATAGAAGGAAAGGGGAGTGGTTGTCGTAGGAGACAACAGTTCGTATTTCTGAAGATTTTGCTCATTGTATTTCTGCATCAAAGATTTCTTGCTAGAACTTAATTTACAGCTTTGCAGCTGGGAGCTCACGGCCTTGCAATTATCACAAGGAACTGATAAGGTCTGTTACTGCAGTTAACTCCTTGCAGGACTCTTGCCTGGACTTTTTGGTGGGTGAATTCAATTAATTCACAAGAGGTAAATAAAGAGGGGGTTTTCATGATCAGGAATCTGTTTCTTGCTTCTGCTAAGGCTGGGTCAGAACACACTGCATCATGGATAAGTAACATGTGCCCAAGCATGTCCAATTCTGCTACGTATTCCAATATGTACCTTCACGTTGGCATTGGCCTACTAAAGTGTCTCCACTACGAGAAAACTGTGTACTAGGCAAAAACAGATAATAGCAAAGTTCCTCCAGGAAGAAACTGTTTATCACCTGAAGATAAAAATTTACTTTGGTCTCAAGGTGTGTCAGCTTTCTCCAGTAATGCCCATGGAGAGGAATGTTCAGAGCTGTGGCCATCAAGCTCATGTAATAAGCAAAGCTGTTCTCCATTCATCAGAGCAGGATTGTGAAAATCCCATGTTAGACTGCCCTTTGCTCAGCAAGACAGGTTCTCCTATCACTCCAAGCTGTTTATTTAAAAACAAAACAAAAAACAAAAAAAACCCTGTCCACTTTATTCTGACACTTGGGGTCATCTAAGGGAAGCAATGGAGCTAATCCAAAGTAGCAGCTGTGAAAGAAAGATGAGTTTGTAACCCCTTGCATTCAAATTATGAGCTATTTGGTTACCGGTGGAGGTAAAATCTCAATAGAACAGTCTGTATCCGTGATGGCGAATCTGTGGCACACGTAGCCATATCAGTGGGCACGCGAGCTCAGCTCCGGCATGCATGTGCGTGCCGGCCAGCTGATTTTTGGGCCTTCTGGGCCCACCAGAAATAGGGAAACAGGTAGTTTCCTGCCTCCAGGGGGCCTCAGGGAGGGGGGGAAGGCTGTTTTCACCCTCCCCAGATTCCTAGAAAGGCTCTGGAGGCTGGGAAGAGCAAAAAACGGGGCTACCATGCCATTGCATGCCAGAATGGGGGGGGTCCCACACGCATGCATGGGGGCAGGGCACATAGAATTATGGGTGTGGCACACGCGTGTGCGCCCCCACCCCGACTCCTGGCACATGATGGCAAAAAGGTTAGCCATCACTGTTCTATATGCTGCAAATATAGCACACATTTGAGTGTTAAAAAACAGACCAACACCAATACGTTTTGGATTAGCAGGTCATCTAAGGGGTAAATAATGTGTGATCCAAGGCAACATTTAATACTTCAGTAGCTTCTAGAGCGAAGTTCCCCAACCTTTCCGGCTTTGTGGACGGGATGGTTCCATGCAAGTGGCAGGCAAGCGTGCGTGTGCAGTTCTTTTTGCGCAAGCGGCAGGCACGCCAATCGAGCTGCATGCGCACACTCGCCCACTGCTCACACAAGTGGGCATCTGTGCGCTCCTGTGCTTGCACGACCCGGTTTTGAACAGCACAAGGCCCGGTAGCAGGCTGTGATCCGGGATTGAATAGAATAACAGAGTCGGAAGGGATCTTGGAGGTCTTCTATTCAACCCTACACCACTTCAGACAAATGGTTATCCAACATCTTCTTAAAAACTTCCAGTGTTGGAGCATTCACAACTTCTGGAGGCAAGTTGTTCCACTGATTAACTGTTCTGTCAGGAAATTTCTCCTTAAGTTGCTTCTCTCCTTGATTAGTTTCCGTTCATTGCTTCATGTCTTGCCTTCAGGTGCTTTGGAGATGTTGTGGCCTGCCAGCAGCCTGCGCGGATTGTGGCTGATCCAGACGACGAGGAGGCTGGTGTGGTGTCGCTCCAGCAGCCTGTGCAGCTGGCGCTTGAGTCGGACAGTGAGGAGGCTGAAGAGGAAGTGGTGCCAGAGGCAGAAACTCAGCCAGGGCCTTCAGAACCTCCAGAGGCTCCTTCAAGTGAAGAGAGTGAAATGGAGGAGCCTCTTCTCAATGCTCGAGCACGCAGGGCTGCCAAAAGGCAGGAGTGGCTACTCAGGAGGTCTCCTTGAGAGTAAGGCTTGGGGTTCATTGGCCACTCCCCCAGCCTATTTAAGTTCGCACACAGATAGCAAATGTTGCTGGAAACAACAGTTTGGTCCTACGCAGAGCATTTTGAGAGTGAGTTTTTTGTTACAACTTGGTTTCTGGGCTGATTGCCAACCCTTGTCGGACTTTGTTTAATCTCTGTAATTCATAGCAGGGTGATAAGCACATTTGTGGTTAAAGCCTGCATTTTGAAAGGGCTGTTTGTATTAAACCGAGTTTTTGGAGCTGTGTGTGTGTGCTACACTTCTTGGGACCCGTAGCTGAGGCAGAACAGGAGAAGAGCTTGACTGCCTCTTCTTTGTGGCAGCCCCTGAGGTTGGGGACCCCTGTTCTAGAGCTTGCAATGCATCTTCCATTACACAGTGGGGACCGAGCACCATGGCAAAAACTCTGAAGGAGATGGGTGAGTCCTACAGGAGAGGGAAATGACAGCATCTTTTCAAACACCTGAAGGGATGTTGCTCAGCTCTCCTTTTCCAGAGCGAATACAGGTAGTCCTTGACTTACAACCACAATGGAACCCAAAGTTCCTGTTCTTAAGTGAGCTTTGCCCCATTTTACAACCTTGCTTGCCACATTTGTTAAGTGAACCACTGCAGCTGTTAATACCATGGTTGTTAAATGAATCTGGTTTCCCCATTGACGATCCTTGTCAGAAGGATCACACAACAGGATCACACGGCCCCAGGATAGTGCAACCGTCATAAATATGAACCCGTCGCCAAGCATCCCAATTTTGATCACGTGACCACGGGGATGCTACAACGGCCATAAATGTGAAAAACAGTTAAGTTTTTTTTCAATGACACTGCAACTTCGAACGATTCCTAAATGAACTGTTGTAAGTCAAGGACTACCTGGTAATGAACTTGAGGACAGAACCCAGCTGCACCTTAGGAAAAACGTCCTAGCAGCGAGAGCAACTTGCTATTTGAAGCAATGATCTGGCGATCATTCTGGCTGAGATGGGCATCAGATATACTGTACCTTAGGGCGGGGTTCTCCCACCTTGGCAACTTTACGACTTGTGGCAGCTTTGCTGGCTGAGGAATTCTGGGAGTTGAAGTCCACAAGTCGTAAAGTTGCCAAGGTGAGAGACCCCTGGCTTAGGGAACTGACTCCACAGCCCAATTTTATGATTTTTAACTTAGGGAGTTAAATCCTTGTGGTGCCTAATTTATGCTCTGGAGTTTAGCCTAAGAGAGGAAACCATCATATTGTAGCGTGGCACTTATTTTCCGCATGAAGACTAGAGAAAATTCAGATGGTAGCCATGCTTACTTTCCCTTTCAGGTTGAAATGTGGCAGGCAAGACTCTCCAGTGTCAAGAAACTGTGCTCACTACGTGTGGGTTTATGTATTGAAAGTAGCAATTTTTATTTCGAGTTAAAATTATTTACAAAAACCAAAAGACATACTTCATGAAACTGGTACAAACTATTATTCCTGCCGTTGGCTTTTTGCTCCAAAGATCACAGCTGAGAAATACTGTATAAAATAAAAATAGGATTGGATTCAGAAAAGTACTCTTCTACGGTTCTAGTTTCCAATTGCGCTTATTTACACATATATTTACAGTGGGAAAAAAAAGTTTTATTTTAAAAACTTTTCAATTTGAAGGTTGGCCTCAAGTACCCATTGAAATGCAGTTTGATGAGGGTTTTAAACAAGAAAATACACTGCAGCTCCACAGGGGGCGTTTCCCTTGACCCTTTAAACCCCCCCCCCCCAAAGACCATCTGCATCCATTCAGTGCCTGTTAATTAAAAACTGTCAACACAAGACTTTAATCAATTCCCATTCAGGTCATTACCAGTGTAACAGAGAAGGGTGGGTCCTGATTCCCCCAGAATTGCATTTAATCGTCCTTTGCCATGGCGCACGCACAAAAAGCCTAACTTAAAAGCTACATGAAATCAAACTCAAACTGGAAGCCGTTTGCTCTATAAACTAAAAATGCCAAAAAAAAAAAAATATCCAGAAAAAAATCCTGCATCGCAAAAATAATTTACAAGTTCAGCTTTATTCGGTTGTTTCTCCCTTGTCCTTCACCCAAGGGCAAACACACAGCCTTAGCCGTCTTTTCTAAGTTACACTGGTACGTTTTTGGGGACGGAAGGGGGTGCCTGGTTTTCTTTAAAGTGGTGAGAACATGTTTTTTTTTTCTTTAAAAAAAAGAAGAGGATAAGCTTTTGTTTCTAATCACTTACTTCCATACTGAATTCCCAACAATCTGCATTATCAAAAATAGGAAGACATAGAAGGCAGCCACTGTGTGTAAAAAAATGTACAGCTTGCACTGATACAAAAGCACGTTTGTAATTTTATACATGGAGATAACAAGATCTAAAAAGCAGGTTAGATTTTTTGTTATTTCTCCCTTCCCTCATTATACATAGAACTTAATTTTTTTTTTTTTATGGCTTCAAGTTTTACAAATTCAAAGTAAGATGATGCAACTACCTAACACAGGTAATGTGAAAAGTGTCGGTGACACACACATGTCCCCGAGAAACTTTTGTGAAGATTCAAGACCAGCTTAATAAAAGTCATGAGCAATTCCGTCGGGACGATGAGTGCAAGAGAGTCCCTAATGTTCAAAAACACAACGGAATGAAACAAGAAAGTATTTTGCAGGGATCTTTGTTCCACAAAAGTCTCAACACAATCCTTTGCTGTGAACTAGACTCTACACTGAACAAAATTTTTGCTATATTCAGCTATTTAAGGCTTTGTATTGTATGCGTTTTACCTGCTCAAAACTCAAACTATAGAAAGATTACCTTATCTGGAAAGATTTATCCGCCGGATGGTTTTAGCTCCATGTTTCTTTGAAACAAACTGACAGCATTTAAGAAGTTTTTGCTTACTCCAAAGTGTAAACTACCCTGGATTGAAAATGGTTTCACACTAACCTTTAGCAGGGCATGTTTTACTGCATTTTTAAAAAAATATAGATATAGACACCGGCCGGGAGGGGATCTTTTTCTCTCTGCATGCCTCTCAGAGCTCTGACGTGATACGGTCCATCAGTTTACAGTACTTAGGCCACAATAATTGCAAAAACTGAGAAGTAGCTTCCAACAACTCAATTTTCAATCAAAGCAGTATAAAAAATAAACTATCCGAGCCTCAACCTCTTTGGATTCCAACACATTTTTAAATATAGACAGTAGTTAAGATCGCAAAAAGTATTTAAAAAAATCTTTCTATGTCTTTTTTTTTTTTAAATCGTTTTGGAATAATCTCTTTCAAAAAACAAGAGCAAATTAAACTCAAATCAGAGCTAACGCTGCTGCCCAGAGCATTTTTATTTGAATTTTTTTTTTCCTCGATACCTCAGTAGCTAAAGCTGCCTTCGCCCCTGGCTGGCATGAAAAGAAGAACAGTGGCTCAACAGTAAACAGCAGTTGCCTTACCCGCAGTACGTTATTTTTTTTTTTCCCCTTCGAAGGTTGTCACAAAAAAGCCAGACAAATAAAGAGGGTGGATAAAACTTTGCCAAATACATGGAAATACTGCGCTGAGTTAACTAGAAAACATTGTGAGTTCTCTCGGTCCCCAGATCTTTTCCTTCTCTCGTTTTTGATAAATTTGCAGATTGAAGCGGTAGCGGTCCTTCGGAAAATGCCAGATGTGGTGGGGAGACCAGGTAGCCTTAAAAATCCAAAGAGAAAATGAGACTTGAGGAATGCTCTTGACGCATCCCCCGAGCACGCCGGTCGCCACCTCCTCTGCTTTTTCTAAGAGAAAAAGCCCCCTCCTCCGAGTGCCTGTGGCCCAACGGGGGTAACTAGCAGTGTTCCAAGTATTCAATCACTCGAGAGATCGACTTCTGGCCTGTGGTTCCAACTGCGCACTGGGTGAGCAAGGAGACAAAAACAAGGATAAATGTTAAAGATGGCGTCCTTCCTTTTGAGGGACGCCAGAGCGTTTCGTTTTTCTGCTGACCACCTGCGCCAGTCTGGCCAAGGCCTGGTAGTGTTCTGGAAGTAATGCTTCTTACTCCTTACTCCTAACGGAAAAGCACTGTTAGGTGCCGTTTGAAAGAAACTCGCCATGTTCCAGATCTCTCCAGAACATCCTATTCCCCTAACCGGTAGAGCAGGGGTGTAAAACTCAAGACGGATCCAGCCTGCAGGGTGCTTAGATCTGGCCCGCGAGGACGCCCTGGAAGCAGTTGAAGGACCGGCCTGCAGTCTGCCAGCGAAAACGGAGCTTGTGAGGGCTGTCCGCGGCCGTCCTGGGCTCTGTTTTCAGCTGCAACGGCCTCCTGCAGCAAAAATGGAGCCTGGGAGGGCCTCCATTTTCACTGGCAGAGGGCTACAGGATGTCGAGCTGGCCATGCCCACCCTGGCCACGCCCACTCCGAGGTCAAACACAGCCCTGATGCGGCCCCAATGAAATGGAGTTTGACACCCCTGTGGAAGAATGCTCTCTGGCTGTGCCTAATTCCCAAAGCTGATGTTTAATATGAGGGAGGTAGTCCTCAATGTATGACCACAACTGAGCCCCAAAATTTCCACTGCTAAGCAAGACATTTGCTAAGTGAATTTTGCCCCATTTTTACGACCTTTCTTGCCAACGTTGTTAAGTGAATCGCTGCAGTGGTTAAGTTAGTAAAATGGTTTGTTAAGTGAATCCGGCTTCCCCGTTGACTTTGATTGCCAGAATGTTGCCAAAGGCGATCACATGACCCCGGGATACTGCGACGGTCATAAATATGAGTCCGTTGGCAAGTGTCTGAATTTTGATCACGTGACCGAGGGGATGTCGCAACAATTGGGTGAAAAATGGTCATAATTCACTTTTTTCAGGGCCATTGTAACTTTGAGTGGTTGCTAAATGAACTGTTGTTACGGGCTGCCTGTATGTGGTGAACCTCTAGCCGAGATCAGCTAGAAATCTGCCTGGCCTTATGCTGCAAAAGATAATAATAATAATAATTCAAACAAGCCTACTGAAGCTAGTCAGGCAATAAATAATTAGAATCACCGAAGATCTACTTACAGTAAGGTTCATGAAACTAAGAAACTTTTTGAGCATTTCAGTCATGATTGAGAAGTCCCCGTCGGGTAAGTATGTCCTTACAGTAGTCACATTGATCTAAGGAAATAAATTTTGCGTCAGGACATTTCCAAGCTTGTAGGAAAAATATTTTGCAAAACATGACACTGGAAGAAATAAATAAGTGTCCGCGCATTGATCCACACTGCCTCAAAACGCAGGACCGATGTCCAAATATCAATCTGCATATCTTTAATAAGGAGCCTGGGTGGCGCAGCAGACTAATGCTACTGTTAAAGGTAGTATTTAGCTTCCAGCTGCCTGCAATTACTGCGAGTTCAATTCTCACCTGGCTCAAGGTTGACTCAGCCTTCCATCCTTTCTAAGGTAGGTAAAATGAGGACCCGGTTTGTGGGGGCAATAAGCTGACTTTGTATAAAGTATATACAAAAGTATGAAGGCTGTTGCTTAACGCATTGTAAGCCGCCCTGAGTCTCCGGAGAAGGGCGGCATATAAATCAAAATAAAAATAAAAATAAAAAAAACTGGATGCCATAAAGTTTCCCAGCCACTCTTGGATATCCCCCCTCCTTTTGTATACAGATTGCCTAAGTCAGCAGTCTTAGCATTTCAAAAAAGGTTGGAAGCTATCGCTGCTCTTGAGAAAGACAACCACTCTCCTTTCCACCTCCACTCTTTCCACGGGCCGCGAAAATAAGAAAATAAATAAGGGAATGTAAGTGCTGTGAAGCCTTTCCCAAAAGCTTTGCCATTTTAACGTTTTCTCTGGCTGCGAATGAACCCAATGACTAAGCATTGTTCCAATTGAGACTGCGCTCATCAGAGAAAAGCACTTGTTCAAACAGCGGTGCCTTTGTTGTGTCAGACTAAAGAACCCAGACGTAATATCAAATATTTTATTCCTTCATTTGCTTGGGCTGGGATTCCCAGCCTGCCAGCAGACATTGCCATGAACAAGATCGGGGGGGGGGGGGGGGGGGGGGGGATGGAGGCCAGCCACAGTCCCCAGCCCTAAACGATGACATAAATTTGGCAGCACACGAGACAACTGGGAGTGAGGAAATGTAGGTCCACATGTCGGCGTTCATTTCCTTAAGATGTTTTAATTCTGGAATCCCCCTGCCCAAACACATTTAGCCCTGCTCACTGGCAATGACGACATTAAGGGGCCTTGGGCAGCTGCAGATTTTTCAAAAGTGCAGTTCGTGTGCTGAACAACTCCCCCACCCCACCCCCCCACCTCCCTGCCCTTGAATTAACAAGGTTGATCTTGCATTGTACACACTAAGAGGAGAAATTAGCTTGGGGATCTTCCAGCAGCCAGAGCAAACAATACAGAACACGAGACAGCCTCAAGTGTGTTTTGTAAACACTTTAGAAGCGCTATTAGACTATAAACACAGCCACAACCGGAGAAAAGCACACTTCGGGTAGCTTTTCTCTACCTACGGAATCTCAGCCCTGTTTCAGACTGTATATAACCCACTTCCCCTGCTTCAAGCAAATCCACTCTTTCCAGCCATCTAAGGGCTATGCAGTTATGCAGTGGCCACCTAATGAGAAGGAAGGACTCACTGGAGAAGAGCCTAATGCTGGGAAAGACTGAGGGCAAAAGAAGAAGGGGATAACAGAGAACGAGGTGGCTGGATGGAGTCACTGAAGCAGTTGGCGTGAGCTTAAATGGACTCCAGAGGATGGTAGAGGACAGGAAGGCCTGGAGGAACGTTGTCCGTGGGCTCGCGATGGGTCGGACACGACTTCGCAACTAACAACAAGAAGTGGTGAATTTCCTTACTGGACTCTCCTGGCAGAGGCAACCTAGCAGCAGTGCTGTGTAAGAGGCCACAATGCAGTCTTCCATGTGCTTTCCGGCATGTTGAAGGGCTGTAAACAAACAAGAAGGTTTTATACCAATAGGCTCCTTTTGCATTCTACACAACTTTCCTGATTTTTTTCCCACCACGGAGAAATACCGAGCAATCCCAAAGAGGAACAAAGCAGCAGTTTCTCCCCGATCAGCTCGACTCTGAAACTCACTGGCTCAACTCCTGATTTACCGGAACCCAATCCTGACCCCAAGGACAATCATTAACCCATTCTTTCCTCAATAAATACATTATAAGGTTCAACAGACACATTCGGCGCTCAAAAAACAAAAAAAAAAACCCCACACCAATCAAATTAATTGCAGTTAGGTGTGAGAGGACACCAGGGAAAATATTGCAAAAAATTGATATGAAGGAGTGAGAGAAGGAAAAGAAATAGAAATTTAAAAGAAACCAGGATACCGGATACCAACAGGCAAGATTAAACTTCCTTTTATCAAACAAGACACGACGTTGCAGCTGGAGAAGAGCTCTGTCAGTTCATGGGAGCAAAAAAACCCCAAGGGATCTGGTAGCCCCCCCCCCTTCCAACTAATCTGTTTTAATCTGTGTTTCGGCCAAAATATTTAATAATTTTAAGGGACTTTTAACGTTTGTATTGTCTGTATTTTATCTTGGCTGTTCACCGCCCTGAGTCCTTCGGGAGTAGGGCGGTATAGAAATGTGATTAATAAATAAATAAACAAACAAACAAAATCAGTACTACTGGCAAAGGCTTTTATACCTCTTAATAATATGTATTAGTCAGAAAACGGGCCACCAGATTCTTTCCAATAGTGTCAGAAACAAGGATTTCCAGGAAAGAGGCTCTTCAAACTTGGCAGCTTTAAGACTTGTGGACTTCAATTCCCAGAATTCTCCAGCCAGCTATGCTGGCTGGAGAATTCTGGGAGTTGAAGTCCACAAGTCTTAAAGCTGCCATGTTTGGGGACCCCTGCCTTAAGCAAAGAGATTTTTAAAAAATGAGAAAATAGCCAGGATGGTCAAGAATCACACACTATCCTGGCTCTTTTAAGTGCCTATTTCATGGGCTGCCCTCTTGTCCAGCCACTGCCACCCACCTTTATTAAGATCCAGCTCTTCTTCTTCTTCTTCTTTCTTCTCTTTCTCCTCAGCGTTCTCTGGCTTTTCCGTGGAGACCCACTGAATCTCCCCGCTGGTCTCCTGCCACTCCCCACTCTGGTCATGCTGTGCGGTGGGAGCCTCTTTAATCAGCTCGTCGGTCTGGCTCTCGGCCAATTGTGCTGCTCTCTCTCTCTCCAGGAACAACTGAGAAGACAAAAACCAACCATGGTTGAGTCAGAAAAGTCAACCACACTACATTAACTCACCGGCACTGCCCAACGTCTCAACCGCCCTCTTCACTGCAGCTCCCCTTTTTACTCAGCATTTCACAATATACTTGTTGTAGCCTGTCGGCTGCCGGCCTCTCCGACAGCCGAATCAGAGGAGGAAGAGGAGGCGTGTAAGTCAGGGTCAGCATCAAGGCAACCTGAGAGCTCCGAGGGGGAAGAGGGAATGGAGCTGGCAGAGAGAGAGAAAGAGAGGCGGAGCCTGGACTGTCCGTCAGCCCTCAGCTGGAGAGTCAACAGCCCCCAGGTCTGGAGGTGGCTGATGAGGAAGTGGAGGAACAGCTGGGTCCAGTGCCTGACACGCGAATGCACAGAAGGCAGAGGAGAGGAGAGCAGTGGGAATCTATAGGCCGGTCCTTGGGATGGAAGAGCCACTGCTGCTAGCGAAGCCCCACCCTAGCTCTGGGGATAAAAGGCAGGGGACGGAGATGAATAGATGTGGCAGACAACTAATCATCTCCCTGCTGGACAGACTTGTTAGCCTGCTGTGAGAGAGATAAAACTTTTTGCGTTTTGCGGGGTTGTGGGCGCTCCTAATAAAGGAATCATTGCTTCAACTTCAGAGGGTTTGTCATGTTTGGGGAGCCGAGTAAGAACAATACTATAATTCTACATTGTAAGCCGCCCTGAGTCTCCGGAGAAGGGCGGCATATAAATCAAATTAAAAAAAAAAAAATTCATGCATCCTGTTAAGAGCTTTGGGATTCAGCCCAATGGTAATTTCAATTCTAGTGTAGAAAGTCTGTGCAAAAACAATACTCTGATGTGATTGAAATCAGTGGTGGGTTGCTACCGGTTCGGGTGAACCAGTAGTGGCGGTGGCGGGAGGCTCCGCCCACCCGCCCGGACGCTTCTGCAGATGGTGGTAAACAAAGTGGGGTTGTGTCAAGCCAGGACAAGACTTTGGGGCAGGTAGTGAATTCAGAGCTGCTGAGAGTAGGGCTAGGGTTAGGGAAGAGGCCTTAAGCTACTTATCCTGTCCAGATTTGCTTCATCTGAAAGGCAGGGCAACCAAATCACTTCAGGCTTTCATTCTGTTGATTCTGGGCTGATTTGCAAAGATTCAGCAGACCCTCTAAAACAGGTGCATCCAATTTTGGCAACTTTAAGGCCTGTGGACTTCAATTCCCAGAATTCCCCCAACCAGGCAGCTGAAGAATTCTGGGAGTTGAAGTCCATAAGTCTTGAAGTTGCCAACCTTCAACACCCCTGCTCTAGAACCTTCCCAAATGAAGCCGAAATCTGAGGTTTTGCACACTTCTGTGAATGTGTCGAGGAAATGGGAGCAAAGCAGGGATGAGTCTCCTTATACACCCGTTGTTCTGTTTGGAAGATTGTCAGGATAAAACGGAGCTTCACTTCCATGCCAGATACTTCACCACAAGGGTGGCTGGGAGAAACCTTTAAGGCTTTGTAATATCTGGCTGACATTAGAAATAATATTTCTGAGAAAAATTGCCAAGGAGAGGTGATAAGAGGGAAGTTTTGATTTCTGCCCCAATAACCTGAACCGGGCACAGCTGTTTTCCCTCCTGCTCTTTGCAGCCAGGAAAAACATTCTCCCTGTGTGAGAAGAGACAGGAGTCAACCAGCTCCTGTATAACTCTAGCTCACAACCCAACCTGGAGTACATAAAAGAAACTATTTGGACTGCAGGGCAATGGTTTTCAAGGACTGGCTATATTCCCTCTTCTGTGCAATTTGAGGGGATGATAATTTCAGGCAAAGGGTTAAATGCTGAATTGTGTCCTGCTATGAATGCCTGGTTCCTGCAGTTTAACTCTTCAAAAAGCTGGGCCTCACCCACCGAACCTGTGTGACGTGTTTTTATCAGCCCTTTTCTATCATCACAGGGGCAGGCACAGAACTGGTTGAAATAAATGAACAGAAATTGTCGTGTTCTGCTGAGATTGCGCTTTAGCTTCCCCGGCAGGTCTACAATTGATGGACTGCGCCAGCAAAGCAGGTTATACGTGTTCTTCACCTTCAGGCTTGTGCGCTCGAATCGGCTGACAGCCTGCCTTCCTGCCTTTCGCCAGTGCTGTTTTGCTGAGATCGGCAAAATGAAGAGGGAGCAGCAGCCCACAATCCCAGAATGGAGGTTCCCACGGAAGAGTCTACTCCTCCCAGAAGGCAGAGGGGTGAGGCTGTTCCCTCCCCCAGGAGGAGATCCTCCCAGCTTTTATTTCTGGGCAGGGGGTACGTGAACCATCCTTCGCCACAATTCTTACTTTTAAGAACTTATGTGGCTCATGTGAGTCTTAAGGCAGGCTTGTCCCAAAGGTGCTATTTCAAGAGGTAATTGGACTTCCTGTTTTTTCTTGAAGATGTTTCGCTTGTCATCCAAGAGGCTTCTTCAGAGCTGAGGAAGCTTCTTGGCTGAGAAGCGAAACATCTTCAAGGAAAACCAAAAAGTCCAGTTGCCTCTTGAAAAGGCACTTTTGGGACAACCGTGACCTGGATGACTGAGAGTCTCCATGGACATTAAGGCAGGCTTGTCAATAAAGGTAACATAAAGGCTGACATTTTACCTTGGAGTAGATTTATCATTATTTTTTTTTTTAATGAAAAGATCCTTTGTGGTGGGCCTGAAAGAGAGGGATATACCCGAAGACTTAGCAAAATCTATGCGCAAGAGGTAGCTGAATGTCAGCTCCTGGTGGAGATATGAAATTTATTACTTATTTGCTATAGCTTGCATCCCACTCACTCCAAAATGGCTCTGGGCATCTCAGATTGCGCAACAGAAAACATTCAATGAGAATCAGAACCTAACCAATAGCCCCTAATTGCACCAACCAATGGGAGTTGGTCAATCATCAATGTCCCCAAATGCTTTCCCGCTTTCCCAGTAGCTCTAAAAGTAAAGGTAAAGGTTCCCCTCGCACATATGTGCTAGTCGTTCCCGACTCTAGGGGGCGGTGATCATCTCCGTTTCAAAGCCAAAGAGCCAGCGCTGTCCGAAGACGTCTCCGTGGTCATGTGGCCGGCATGACTCAACTCCAAAGGTGCACGGAACGCTATTACCTTCCCACCAAAGGTAGTCTCTATTTTTCCTACTTGCATTTTTTACCTGCTTTCGAACTGCTAGGTTGGCAGAAGCTGGGACAAGTAACGGGAGCTCACCCCGTTACGCGGCATTAGGGATCTGAACCCTGAACTGCCGACCTTTCGATCGACAAGCTCAGCGTCTTAGCCAGTGAGCCACCATGTCCCTATAGCTCTACATGACTTCTGTTTAGCCCCCAGGAACCCGTTCCTGGATGGGCTTCAGGCACCAGAGATCAGTGCACCGATTCCAGGCAAGCGAGAGATAGAAAGAAAGGGTGATAAAGGAGAAGAATTAATCCTGTCTGCCTCCTCTGTGAATGGGCAGTTTTCAGTAACACCCACCCACCCTGAATTATCACCAAGCTGCACATATTTTGGATGAAAAAAGATGGGATTCACCTGTACTAAAGCCTGAACAGCTGCCATTTGTCCAGATGTGCTTAAACTCTCATCAGATTCTCCCAAGCAGAAGGAATCGAAGGAACACGATGTTTCCATATTCACAAGGCAATGTCTGTTTCTTGCGCTGTATTCAACCAGATTGATCAAAAGACCCAAACCCTTAAGATTAAAAGAAAAAAAAAAGAGGGAAGAAGGATTACAAAAATGCCGTGGTTATTCCTAACTTAGACATTGAGTGTTCAAATGGACCAGACAGTTGTAAGGAACTTTTCTGACAGGTAGATGTATATCTTGGTAATCTTGACTACTGAATTCACATTATAGATTTATAGATGTTTGTATCGCTGATCATGGTCCTTCTGCTTTGCAAATGATTGGGTCCCAAGCCTCCAAGCAGCTTGAAAGTTAAACCAGAACCTTTTCCTGCACTGAGGCAAAAAACCCCACAAAAGGCTATGAAAATCTTTCAGTGCTGGATGGGACCAAACTGGCCTCAGCAGAATCTTAAAAAAGAAAAGGCTGCAATGCAACCACAGAAACAGTTTATTGATTTATTTTCAAAAGATACTTGGGCAGAGACGAGGTTTTCGACTTACCAGAACCCGAATATCAAATCTCTGTTCTTGAGGTAGGAATTTTGGAACTTGAAGCACACAGTTCAGAGCAGTGCCAATGAGGCCCTCTTGCTCCCCGGTCTTGGTGCTGCCCCACTCTGCGAACATTAATAGTGGAGAGAAACTGATGAGTCTGTTTTATAACCAGAAACATTCCTAAGTTCTTATCCGAGTCACTCTTTTCATTCAGAGGTGGCTGTTGTAGGGAAAATATGAGGAGGGAGTATTATGTGTGTTTGCCTCCTTGACTTACTAATAGCAATAGCACTTAGACTTATATACCAGTCCATAATTCTTTTACAGCCCTCTCTAAGCGGTTTACAGAGTCAGCATATTACCTCCAACAATCTGTGTCCTCATTTTATCAACCTCGGAAGGATGGAAGGCTGAGTCAACCTGGAGCTATTCAGAATCAAACTCCTGGAGTGAGCAGCGAGTTACCCTGCATTCTAATCATTGTGCCACCATGGCTCTTTTAGTAATAAAGTTACTAATAAAGGCGGGGTAAAAATCTAACAAATAAATGTTATTTGTCCATTGTCCATTTCGTCCCTATAGATGAAGACTTTGCTCTTAACAAAACATCAGTTCTTCTTCGGAGCATCTCCTTGTCCGCTAGGTCAAGACTACAAACTAAAATTTTATTTTTGTGACAAACAATGCTGCCGCTAACAAGTGGGTGAAGCTGAATATAAGACACGGATAGGTCCAGAAGGGTTAAAAGGACCTTCAAGGCTAACGGGATTCAACTGAGGGACCACCTCACATTCAACCCAGACAGGCCTTTGTCTAAATTTTTTTCTTCCTCTGATGCCTGAATGGCATTTGACCTGTTGATCCCCAAAGAATCTACTTTCATGGATTACTTTACATCACATCACCCAGCAAACCACCCCCGCCCCCCAAAATACTTCTGCCATTCAAGCTATGTCCTAAGCCAGTGGTCTGCAACCTTAAACACTCAAAGAGCCATTTGGACCCATTTCCCACAGAAAAGAAAACACCGGGAGCCACAAAACCCTTCCCGTGCCTGACTATTTCTCGAGCAGCCACAAAACTAGCTTATGTAGTTGAATTAAACGTTCTGTTTTCTTCTGAAACTTTTCTCTTCTTGGATTCATCCATGGTTGGCCTAATGGGGCTTGAAAAGCTCAATAAATCATGTGCTGGCGGGTGTCGCACATTGGCAGTTGTGATGCATATTTTGAGTGACAGGGAGCCACAGCAGAGGGGTGAAAGAGTCACATGCGGCTCCAGAGCCGCAGGTTGCTGACCCCTGTCCTAAGGACATGTTCTCTAGAGAGAACCAATTGTCTGCGCCACCAGTTGCTTTTTTCTATGCTTCCTTACACAAGTGAGTTACTTACCATTATCGTTTGTCAAATTGAGTAAGACACCAATGATGGCTCTCATACAGTCTTCTACTGCCTTACCCACGTGGTTGGTTACATTCTGGTAAGGCAGTGGCTTACTGTCTGCAAGACAGATGGTGTCTTCTGCCCGGTTGTATCTCTGGATTAGCTCCTCACAGTGCTGTAATGCTCTGAAAGATTCAGAAGTCGAGAAGGCACAACCCAAATTATCCCTGCATCTCATGCCTTAAAGGAATGTTTCCAACAACAAGTTCTGACTGGAAATTGAATGTCATCTATCATGTCGCCCTAATACAGTGAGCCACAGCAATGACTGCTACACAATCTTAGGACCCACATTATTAGCATAGCTGCCAGCATTACCTTTGAAAAAGCCGCTGTTATATGTATATAACTGTATATATCATATTTTTCAGAGTATAAGGCACACTTTTTCCCTCCTAAAAGGGAAAATTTAGGTGTGTCTTATATACCGAATGTAGCCCCGCCCACCCACTGGCCCCCATCCTTTGGCCTCTGCCTCCCAGCAGTGACCTCCTTGCAAGCAAACAGCAAGAAAAAGCAGCTCCTTTCAGCTTCAGCACAGCCTAATTAGCACAAATTGATCCCAACTCTCAGCTGATTTGCTCTCAGCTGTTTTGTGCAGGGCTCTGCTGCTTGCTGCAAGGGGGTAAATTGCCGGAGCGGATTTTTTTTTTCCTTGTGCTAATCAAGCTATGCTGAAAACGAAAATGAAAGTAAAGCAGGCTGTTTGCTGTTTGCCGCAAGGAGGCAGAGGGAGATTTCTTTTTCTTCTTTTCCTCACCAAAAAAGGTAGGTGCATCTTATACTCCGAAAAATACGGTAGCTGTCTACAGAACAAGCAGTGAGACAGAGGAAAGAAAAATCTGGAATCTTAGCTCCTTCATGCGCCCACTGCTTGCTCCAGGTCGAGCACAGTATGGAGCATCACTTAAGAGGTGCGTAAGATTTTCTCTCTAACCACAAAGAAGGAATCTAGTCTTTTTTTTTTGCAGAGGTTTCATTACTGAAACTAGTTTGAGTGCACATCTTCAAGAATACAATCAAAGAGCCCAAGGACCCCACAGTTCAATCCTGAGCTGTAATTATTCTCCTTTATTGGTATATGAATCAGTCTAAACATCTATGGTGCAAATAGGAAAAATGCAGATAAAAAGGAGAAACGTGTAAATTATTTCCAACAAATTCTTCTCGTCAGAATTCATAAATTACGTTTAACAATTTATGAGACGAATGAGAAGGTTTCTATCTTTTGTTACTTCTTGATGGCTCTTATTAAATCCTACACACTACTTTCCAATACACGGAATCAAAGGTTGAGATTCATTTACTTAAAAAAGGGATTCTCTAAAGATTAAAAATGTTTGTGTAAGGTCAACACACTTGTCCCAAACATTCTTATAAAAATTATCATCAAAATAATTACAGTCAATAAATACAAATATAATAGCACACTGTCACCAAAAAACCCAGCTCACTTTTCACTTTTTCTCTGTAAATTCAGAGAAGCCAGCACAGAAAAGCTTCAAGGCGTAAAACTTTCAAAGTTTAAATATCTACTGAGCCAAGTCGATGGAGTCTTTTAAATAATCGTTATACCATTAAAATAAATATGATTTAGAACTTACTTAGCTGAAGAGACGATGAGCTGTGAATCCTTATATGCTATTAAATAGCTCTGATTCTCCGGATTGTGAACTGTTACCTGGGGAAAAAAAATAAACTGTCAAAAGACTAACTCCTTAAGTCTTTCTTAAATGAGTAATGCTTGTATTTTGGCAACATTCAGTAGCCTAACTTGTAAACAGAAAGTGACCAAGCTCTAATCCAGTGTTTGAACTGCACAATAACAAATGGTGAAGATTAATATATTTTTTTAATGTACTGGAAATTTAGGATTACAAAAACAACATGGGAGGCAGAAACATGGATTCTGCCTCTTGAGGCCACAGAAGTCCTTTAAATCAGTGCTTCCCAACAGTGCCAACTTTAAAATGGATGGACTCCAACTCCCAGAATTTCCCAGAATGCTGCAAGTGAACAAGGTTGAGAAGTAAAGGTTGCTTTAAGTGAAAGAGTAAGGACCTGGTTTAGGCTCTTTCTGTTGTGGCTCCGTTGCCTGAGCCTGGGCTATCGACAGATGCAGACTCTGAGAGTGAGGGAGAGGAGTTGGCAAGGCCTCCCTCTCCAGGACCCTCCTCTCTGGCAATGCCTCCAGAGGACACCGAAGGCCAAGAGATAGGCTCAGAGCCAAGCACGTCCCCGCAGCCACAGGTGGACAGCGACGAAGGAGATAAGTGCTGGCTGGACCCTCGGCAGAGGCGCAGGGAGAAGCGTGCACAGCAGAGGGGAAGGCGTGCCAGAGATTAGCTGAGTCACTGGACCACACCCCACAGGGTATAAATGTGGGTGTGGTGGCCGGTTCAGTTTGTGAAAAACTAGAAATAATCCATGATCTCTGCGTTACTGGACTTCTGCCTGCCTTGTTGGATTGCATTTGGACTAATCCTTGTATTGCGGAAACTTTGCCTGCTTTATTGGAATGCTTGCAGTCTAATCTTTGTTTTGTGTGAGTAAAGTCTGAATTGGCAGCTAGCCACTGGGTTGCTGCCAGCTTTATCTTCAAAGATTTTGTCGTGTGGCTTATTAACTCCGGGCCGTCTGTGGGCGTGCATGTGTGGGACGGGGACAGAACACTTTCTGGGATGCCGACTGTGTCTGTACCTGCATGGGGATCACTAAATAAGTCAGCCTTCCACTAGCAATTGCAAAACCGACGTGAGCCAGAATCACTTCAAGCTGCCATCATTCTTGTCAATCATCTCCATTTAATGACCCCATAATCTCTTGCGGTGTGGAGTCTGGGCAACTGAACTGGAGCTGAGTGTTTACTGGCTGGATGCCCTTCCCGTCGCCAGTTGGGAGTTATATTCAGCTGATGTATTCTCATCGTGCCCAGAAAGGGAAATATCTGCCTCTACCTAGGATCGAACTCAGAGCCTTCTGATTGTGAGGCGAGAGTTCCACCTCTGGGCCACCGCACCACTCGCCATCATTCTTATCAATGTTACTTATTATTTATTATTTTTCGGCAGACCCACTCAAACACCTTCCCCCCTCAAAAAAACCCTGAAACCAAAAGCTCTGTCAACACAGACAACTTCAGAAAGCAGAACCAAATGTCTTCCCTCAAGCCGCAACGAAGCAAATAAGGCAAACCCCAGCCCATAAACGAGGCATCACGTATACCACTTTCTCCTTATTCTGGTTCAACATCCATTTTCTTCAGGATATTTCATACTTACACTTTCCAAGACCCGTAAACATCTTTCTGCTCCCCAGAGTGAAGCCACCAATTTCTCTTCATTCTCGTCGCTGCTTAAATGATCCACGCACTCTTTAACTGAGAAACAAAAGACGGGTATGATTATTAAGCTGGTAAGACATTTTGTAAGATTTTTATTATTTTTTTTTTTACTTTCCCGAAACGGCGTTAAGATATTCATCAACAGATTGTTATACGTTCCAGTTATAAAACTTAAGTACCTTTTAAGACAAAATTAATACCTTTATCTACAATATGGTCAAGACCTCCCAGAAGTCGCAGCTCTTCTTTAAACCAGTCACCTGCCCGCTTTGAAGTGAGAGAGAGAAGGGTCTCCATTGCCAAATGACCGGTCTAGAAAACACACAAGTGAAATCTGTATATAATTACAGCCAAAAGGCAAAATCCTCCCACAAAATAGAACCACTGGCAAACTTATATATGTTTCGTGGCAGATTCCCTCCAATGTGTGATCAATGAGCCGCGGTGGCGCAGTGGTTAGAGTGCAGTACTGCAGGCTACTTCTGCTGATCACCGGCTGCCAGCAGTTTGGCAGATCGAATCTCACCAGGCTCAAGGTTGACTCAGCCTTCTGTCCTTCCCAGGTGGTTAAAATGAGGACCCAGATTGTTGGGGGAAAGAGGCTGACTCTGTAAACTGCTTAGAGAGGGCCGTAAAGCACTATGAAGTGGTATATAAGTCTCAGTGCTACTGCTATGTTGAATAAAAATGCACCGTATATAACTGTAACTGCTGTTTCTCTGCATTTTCCATATGATTTTTTAAAAAAGAGGTAAACTTAGTGCTCACCGTTATGTTTTCAAGATCCAGGTGTTTATTATGAACAGTTTCACAGAGTCTTCGGATTTTTTCCTTGATTTTGTTCATGTCTTTTTCGTTAAGCAACTTGGAGGAGGAATCCTGCTCGAGCTCCAGAAGTCGGATCATTAAATCTAAGCTGGCTCTGTCTAGATCCATGTTTAAGCGATCTCTGCTCAAGATATACATTAAAGCTGCTGTACAAAGCGACAAGTTCTTCGGCAAAAAGAAAAAGAAAAGGACAGGAAAAAGGTTCCTTTGAGTAGGAGAACGTTGAGACTAGGTTGGTTGTTTCAAGTCGTTTTTAGAAGAGCCAGATGGGGTTAGCAGGGTCATGAATTCACAATTCTAAATGAAAGCTAGCTAGATTTTCCTGACTAGGGAATTTTATTATTGTTCTATTTTACTTAAAATACATTTCCCTTAGAATACACATCTATTCACTTGAAATAAGTAACTTCTCCTTAATGTTTAGCAACAGCAATCAAAGCCAATTTCATGTACATATTTGCATGTATGTGCGCACGGTGTCTATTCTTGCATATATTTGGTACAAAGACTTCTGTACAAAGATTGTGAGAAAATTATCCCAAAAATCTATACCACAGATATTCTTATGCTCAATTTAATGCGGAGACATTACTTCTGGAGCATGCAGCGCATACTCAAAGTGTTCCTCTCCTTCAAAAATTCAAATCAAGCTGTTCAACAGCGCTGTGCCCAACCTTTCTACTTCGCATGGCCCCGAATTCAAAACAATTTGTCGTTCTGACAAATTGGACGTTTCGATCGGCTATGGACCTTTGAAACACTTCCAATATGATCAAAACCATCCTGTTTCCCATGCCAAACTGATGTTTCATGCTCAAAGCCACAGTTCCGGACTGGAGACCAGGCATTCAGAATTCAGAGTGGCACCAATCCTTTGTGCGCTGGCAGGGTTTCCATATTGCTAGCAGACTGATTCTTTCAAGAGAGAAGCCACCCATGATATATAAACAGTTTCAAAACTGTTACTATGGAATGCGACTGTGCTGTCCTTGGTAAAGACAAAGCCTGGCACTTCCTTGTGGAGGAAATATTCTCATTTCCTGCTTTACTAAAAAAAAAATGTTTTTTAAAGATTCAATATTGCTGAGCACATTGTAAGCCGCCCTGAGTCTCCGGAGAAGGGCGGCATATAAATCAAATTAAAAATTAAAAAATTAAAATTAAAAAATTAAAAGGCCCCCATCCTATTGGTATTCCGAAGGACACGTTAGCAAGAGTGATAGATACAACCCTTTTTGTTGTTATTGTTCCTACCTGGATTTGTTTTCTCTGCCATCTTTATTTCTTTGTGTTCTTTTTGTGTTTGTACATTTGTGTGTGTGTGTGTGTTGCTTTTTTCTTAAATGTTTTTAACAATTCTTCAATTGTTTCTAGGAGTTGGGCAGCATATAAATTTAACACATTATTATTATTATTACTACATCGTGTGTTAAACACAGGAAATCCCGCGAACGGTACCTTCACAAGTATTTTAAAGAGTGGCGACATCAGCAGCAGAAATGGACAGAAAGTAAACTCAAAACTGCATTTTTAGTTTATGGTTCCTAATCTTTTAATACATGCAAAAAACATTTTCCTTAGAACAGTAGTCAACTGAAAAAACAGTTCTGAACTACAGCGAACGATGTGAGGCAGACGTACCTGGTGGTGCTGTGAGTCATCCAGTGTTTTGAAGACCATCGCAACCATTCCATGTGCTCTCAAATGCATTCGGAAACTGGGCATGGCGCACTTGGTCGCCAGACTGATAACACTAAAATGAATGAATGAATGAATGAAGCAAGATTTAATGAGAATTGAGCAAATAGAAAAAGCAGATCGATGCCAGATCAAAGAGAGCTGTTTATGCAAAAGAGAAACAGTAATATACTGTTGACCCATCAGAAATTTTTTAAAAAATATACATATTTTTATTAGAGTCTGCAAGGCAGGATGCTATGAAACCACTTATATGAATCCTTATGAAGGATTCTGCAAAACTGGTTGCATAGTCAATAGTAACATTTTGGTCGTAATAAATATACTAGCCTAATCAAATGAGACCACACTCTGTAAATTACTTTTTTTTTGTTTCTCTTTAATCATAGTTAACATGCTCTCAATGACTTTGGAGGGGAAACGTAGGACTTCATCATGACACAGAGATGTTTATCTCTGTTTATAGCTAAAAACAGATGAATTCTGCCTAGTTACCTACAGGCAGATTCAATACTGAGTCAAATTGTATGCATTCTGTGCCTTTAAAAAAATCAGTAAAATTAGCTGCATTACAAATTGAGGTTAAAATTACTCAGAATTGATGCAGTCATTTAAGGAAGGTAAAATTACTGAACAAATACACTAATCCTTTACGAAACATGAGGTGTTTCTTTTCAATCTCATATTTCATACAAATGTGTTTTTTTCGACAGAAAACCTATCAGAAACAGAACTACAGCTCTCGCTTTCAAGCAAGAAAAATGAAGTCATTTCATTTTGAAGAACTGCTAGCTTTTTTTCTGCTAAACATCAGGAAAAAAAGCATTCTTCAAGCACACACATTAATACTGCTAGCTGGATTTCATCTTTGGAATAGAAAAATAAATGCCTCAAATATTGTTAAAACAGTGTTCAAAATCAGTGAGTATTATGAAAGGCGAATGTGCATATTGCTTAGTCTTTGGGTTTTCTCAGTTGGTTTCAAAGTATCTTGGATTTGACATTCTCATGCTCTTTCAAATGTTTTATCACTAAAATACACATTGCAAGAAAAGAAACACAGTTTTTCTTCTACAATTTGCCCATAAAACGTAAAAGGTAACCAACTGCACTAGAATGGTGTAAAAGAAAAAAACTCATTTTTTTTTCTGCAAGGACGATCCACCAATAACTTCTTCTCCCAGTAATTTCAACTCTGCTAACCTTGAAATTAGCAGAATCTTTAGTCAAATGCATCTTTTAGGAAGCGGTATGACGAGAACCGCAAATCTTGCCACCCAACTCCATCCTTACCACACATTCCTATGGCCAGGATTAGCTACAGACATCCAACTGCCCTCTTTTAGTAAGCTAGAAGTAAACCAGGCATGAGACAGCAAACACAAATGGATAGCTATCACATATCCTGGATGTTCCTAAAAATATGTTGGGGCTCCAACTTGCCATTTTCAGCTATCATGGTCTTTGGCAATACCAAATTCTGGAAATTACACTTCCAGTTTACCTGGATGTGGCCAGACTGTAAAACACCATCCAAGCTGTAGCCAGTTGCTTAACAAAGCTTGGAAGCCATTAGCCTACTATTCTCCCATGCACAATTCTTACACTCCATCGATTTCCCTTCTTCTTTTATCCCCCAATGTCGAGTGGAGCTCAGAGGCTCCCAAATAGACATCAGCAAGATCACAAGAATCTCCAAAGGGGGCCTTGTGCTCAATGAGCCAATCAAATCAGGGGCTGTAAAGCAGCAGGGGAATCCTGACAATCACACATAGGCTAATTGCACACCCATCACAAGTAGTTAAAAAGAATACAAGGAAGACAGAAGAGCCCTCTGGAAATAGTCATCACTGCTTCTTTAGTGCATGGGAGAATGTCAGCTTCAGTGAAGCAAGTTCCTTACGCAAGACGTGCACACAAACCGAACTCACCTATCATGCTTGCGTTAATCACGGTTGATTTAACAAGCCCTGGTGTCTAGCTTCAGCCATCCAACTAAGCCAACGGCAATCAACTATATGATGGCTTAGCAAGATTTGTCCACTGAGCCGCATCTTAACACTGTATCAGCTTACTCTCTGAATGAACTGGAGCATGGGAGATTTTCAGAGGCATCACTTTGTGTCAAGTCACTCATAAAAGTCCACCTTATCATGAGGATAAGGTTCCTCTGGAATTAGATCACTCTTAAGAGCTGGAAAGCAGAGAGGAAACTGAACAGAAAGAACAGTCTTTCTCTCTGCCACAGTGTCCGCTGCTGTTGTAAACCGTGTTTCTTGCAATGTGACTTGCAATGGAGACGAGTGACAATCTATATAATATAATTGTTACTGACTTTCAGCCCAATTAGGGTGACTCTGTGGCTTGGGATGAAAAGAAGACACACTGGGGCCTTTCTTGACATTTATAAGATCATGACTCACAACTCTGGAGGGTCGCCCCAGAGTGGCACATTCAAAACAGCAGGGCGAGAGCAAGCCACACCAGACAATTAGAAATACAAGAAAGGAGCTGCTACATGAAGTAGGTCAGAAAGACGGAAGATCTGTTGCCTTTCCTGGTCTCCATGCAAAGTGGTGGCTTGACTCTGTCTAAGAATAGAGCCAGGTACCCCCAGAAGTGGGGGTTCACAGGCGTTCGGGAGAACCTCTAGCTAAGATTCTTTGTAGTTCGGAGAACCCCCAAATCCCACCCCTGGCTGGACCCACCCACCCCTCCCCTCCCCTCCCAGGAGTCCCCACGCGGCACGTTTTGGATGTAGGTAAGTGCAGGGCATGCACAGAGGCTCGGGGAGAGCAAAAAAAAACTCCTGAAAGTTCAGGAAGGCTGGAAACGGGCCTCCAGAGGGCCTTCGGAGCTTGGGAAAGCCATTTTCGTCCCCCCCCCCACCGTGATGCAGAAGGCTGACTAGGCCACGCCCACATCCACCTAGCAACTGGCCAGAAAAGCCCTTGCTAAAATTTTTGAAGCCCACCCCTGGGTACGCCTCTTAATTAAAACAAGTTTGATGTAGCATCAGTAAGACTTTTGCACCACGGCACCAATATAAAACTTCTCACTGTCTCAAAGTTGCCAGTTTCAAATTAACAAACAGCTTCCTTCCTGTTCTCACCTCCTGGTGCCACCATGCAACCATCTACGAAGGTTAAGGAAGAAACTATCCAAAGATAAATATCTTACCTAAGGCAACGGGTGTTTAGGGGCTGATTGCTCTTCAGTCCACTTAATAAATACTCAATATCATCCGTGAACTCTTGGTTTTCTCCAAATTCTACCACATCATTGAAGTGTTTCACGTGTTGTACGACAGTGTATAACTGGAAAACAAGCAAACAATACGTGATCAGAAATTAAATCGCTGGTTGGGTTTGCTCATTTTTAAAAGAGGCTTCTCAGCTTCTCAACGGGATATAGCTCAGATGTTTACCTTAAAAAAAGGGTATCATGGAAAAATAGTATGTGAGTTGTTCCACTTACTTCTTTGTCTTCTTTCCTACATTTCAAGGCAGTTACTATCTCCTGATAGGGCTGGGTTGGTAGAGTCACAGTTTTTATCACTTTGGGTGGTGGTGCTGGAGCTTTGAATACCCCATCGTCTTTAGGAACTGCCTCTTTTGAAGACCTTGCCTGTTAATTAAAAACATGGATGTTCAAGTACAAGATGGGAAATGTTTCTCCTTTCCACAAGACTTTAGAACCGTGATGACAAGCCTATGGCACGCGTGCCACAGGTGGCAAGCAGTGCCCTCTCTCAATGACGCGACCTGTCGCCCCAATTCAGCTCCACCAAGCATGCACGCATGCCTCCCGCCGGCCATCTGGTTGTCAGGTCTCTGCAGCGCATGCAGCCACGGTGCACGAGGGCACGCGCACACATTGCATTTGGGGGGTTTGGCCACGTGCTTTGGGGACTCGGTCTGGAAAAGTTTAGCCATCACTGCTAGAAGATGTAAAACTAACCCTTCAAAGATGCCAATGCAACATAAATGAGATAATGTTATGTTTTTAAACTGTTTATTCTGAAAAGGTTCTAGTGAGCAACTGAAACAAATGTACATTTTTTCCCATCCGAAGTAATGAAGTCATAATCTCCAATTACGCCATTCTATATATCTCAATTCAGAGGAAAGTCCCAGCCCAATGGTCCAAACCGTCTAAGAAACCTGCACTGTCAATCTTTCCAAAAGAAATTATACTCTTTTTTGCACTTTCTTATTTTTGGCCTTTAAATTGAGGGGGTAAAATTAATGTTTTATTCCAGTAGTATTCCAAAATTTATTTATGCTTTAATACAATCTTAGCAATTTTATGCTAAACTGAGGAATTCTGAGAGTTGAAGTCCACACGTCTTAAAATTGCCAAGGTTTAAATCCTGCTTTAAGAGGTATTCCAATATTAATCCTAAATATATATTTTCTTCAGTTTGACAATTTATTGAAGAATTTTATATGGGAAAAGAGGCTGCTAAGGATTTCATTGGTTCAGATTTACATTTTGAGGATGTTGGTTTTATTTACCAGATTTTCAAAAATATTACTGGGCTTATCTTTGGCCATATATATGTAGAATGAAAATTTAATAGAATATCATCTATTCTCAGCTTCATTGGAAGGTTTTTATTTATCTCTAATAGGGTCTTTGAAAATGTTTTGGTCAATATATAATAAAAAGGTGATTCATTTCTGGGACAAACACATTTAAGCTCTGGTGGGTTGCAGATTGGATTTTAATATCATAGGTCATAAATATTTTACACTATGGAAGAATTCTTTAAAAACTGGAAGCAGAACATTCTATTGGAAACTGTGAGAGGAGTCAGAATAGTTAGTTTAAATCAATTACTTGGATGGATGGGTACGGATGGATGGGTACCAGATGGATGGATGGGTACCGAGCAGCATTTTTTCTTGCTGATAGGTATTACAGAAGGGGTGTATACTGATTTGCTTCACATAATTATGATTTTCAAATTTGTGACTGGCACAAATTGGTCCGGGGGAAAAAACCGATTTAAAAAAATCTCAAAAAAGAGATATACTTGAAATACATGTTATAACTGGAAGGAAAGAGTTTAGCTACTCTTTTTATTCTAAGAGACCAAGTAATGTTATGTTTAAAAAGAAACCATCTGAAAAACAAAATTTACATTTTCTGTGGGGAAGGAACACATTTTTTTATGAGTAACAAATATTAATTTACCATAGAGAAAAGGTCTATTCCTTTGTTTCCTACAGGAATTCCTTTGACTTCATTTAAAAAAAAAAAAAATCATAGCCTTGCCGAAATTTTCTGCAATTTAGGTAGAGGGTAGTATTCAACATGGATTACTACCCACTTCTTCCTTTGGTTTTGGCTAACCTTTTCCTGCTGTTCTATTGAGAGTTTTGTGCCTATGCGATCCAGCCGACCAAGAACATTTGAGTGGGTTTTTTTCATTCCAAACGTGAATCAAAGCACATTTTCTGCTTTGTGTGCCTTCCTATCTGATCCAAAAATGCTCTTCTTCAGGATGACGGGGATATTTATAAAACCTGACATGGCAATGGGATAAACTGAAAATTGCATGATGCTTAATTCCCTTCCCTTTTATGGAGCAAGGATATTTGAAATTAATTTAAATACATACTGTATTTTTCAGACTATAAGACGCACCAAGATTTCAAAGAGGTAAGTAAGAAAAAAAAAGTTTTTGCCCTCCCCGGCCCCCAGGAGCACTCTGCAGGCCTCCCAAACCCTCTGCGCACCCCGTTTTTGTGAAAAATGGGCCCATTTTTTGCAAAAATGGGACAAGTGGGGCAGGGCTTCGGGAGGCCAAAAATGGCTTTATTCGGTGTACAAGACGCACCAACTTTTCCACCCTCTTTGGGGGGGGGGGAGTGTGTCCTATATTCCCAAAAATAACGGTAGTTCATGTGAAGGACAGTTCATGCTGGCTGGGGAATTCTGGGAATTGAAGTCCACCATTTTCAAGTTGCAAGATGGGGAAACACTGATTTAGATCAAATCACATAACCAATGCAGATACAAAAACATATAAAGGAATGTTTAGGTCCAACTATACAGTAAGATACAAAACAGGAGAAGCTAATAAGTGGAGATCAACTAGATTGTACAACCTAGAAAAATCATGCAAGAAAAAAAAAAACTTAGAACCTAAGATATTATGCTTTCTGATGAAATCCAAAACCATTATCCCTCTCTTTCCTCCCAAAATATTTATGGCACAAGTCTGACCATTTTTAAGTGAGTCTCCAATGTTGTGGTGTCAGAAATTCTGCTCCAGAACTTAACCGCTAGAATCGGCAACTGTTGTTCAGAATATTTCTTTCTACTGGTGAATGTGCGTGACCTTAACTTTTTTCAAGGTTAATTTTTCAAGAAAGATGTTATAAAAATATCATACTTACTGGAACGTTGGGATTTTTCTGCACTTGTGATGCTGGAAGAACCTCAGATTCCGGCTGATTCCAATGTCTAGCATTGTACACAGCTTTTGTTGGTGACTGAAAATTAAAACAGAACATTAATTTCTGAAAGGTACCCAGTTTGTTCTTCAGAAATACCAAATGTTAAAGGTGCTGGTTAATAGAAGATTTTATAAGAATTTCTTTTCTCAAAATCTTCTAATATACTATTAGAATATTACATTAATACAATTATATTATTTCTGTGCCTCGAAATATTCCCTTAAAAACATTTTCTATATTTTAATTTTAAGTTGTAAAGATAATCCTCCAACATCAAAACTGAAATCCCATTTCATTGCTTCAAATTCTGAGAATATGTCACTGGTTTTGTAAATTTTAATAAAAAAGGTATTAGAGAGGTAGGAAAGAATTTTTCAAAATTAATCCGAAAGAGTAAGTCTTGAAAACAATTTTGAAAAGTCCCACATATCTTATATCTTTAACTTAATATAACAAGCCGTGACACAGTATATGAGAACCACAAAATCATTTAGCAGTCAAGTCCTTGTATTAATTAAATATGCCTAATTAAATATCCAGTTGTTAAGCAACTATACAGTATTGCACAGATTAAACAAAACGTCCAAACACCTATCATGTCATGTACACTTGGCAACTGGCCAAGGCTGTCAACCATCAGACCATCCCACGGTCATGTGATCAGATTTGGAACTTTCTTTTGTCAGCTTTCCACAAGCAAAGTCAGTGGGAGAGCTGGCAGGAAGTTAGAAGACATAGTCAGGTGAAGACCTCACTTAACAACCGAAACTGGGAACCACCAGGACTATCATTGCTAAGTAGCACGGTCACCCCAACATCATACTTTATGACCACATTGCTTAATGATAGAATTCTGGTCCCAATTACCATTTTTAAGTAAGGACATTTGCGACATACTATGAACTGCAGGTAGAGTTGTTCATGGTTATTATTGTATTTTTTAATAGACATATACGCATGTAATGGTTAAAGAGACTTAACTGTGTCTTAAAACTACCTTTGAAAAGGCAATCGACTTACGAAGCTGATTTTAACATTCCTACTTACCCTCTTTGGTCCACTAAATATTTTTCGTGTATTTTCTTTAGACTTATCGCCTTGCGAATTGGTAGATTTCTTATTGCTTTCCAGAACACTGGATGAATCTTCTGCAAAGTCCATCAGCTCTACAAGAATAAAGGTTATATGGTTAACAATTAACAAATCTCTTTTTTTTTTAAAAAAAAAAAAAAGGGGGGAGTCTGTTTCAAAGGTGAAATGATTAAACATAGACTGAGAGCATCTGCTTGAAAAAGCAGCAGTACTTTTGAGAGGAGGGTGCTAAATAAAAATAAAAAGAAGTGGCAGCAAAATTTACCTATTTTATCTCCAGGAAAACGTACAGCCACCTTCTTTTGACTTAAAACCACAGTAGCTTCAGGCTCTTCTATATTTTAAAAGAGGAACAGAGGACTCCGGATTACAACTATGGTTGAGTATGTAACATTCCCCACAATGTTAAAAATAAAAAGGGGAGGAAAGATTATGAAAATGAGTCATGTGAAAAGGATCCACTGAGTGAGGGTGGGAGCAGGGATACATGAAATTACAACCGAGGAGGAAATAAACTTACTCCATCTTATTTATTTATTTTTAAAGAAAGCTGGAACCTTTCTTTTGAAGTAGCAGGGTGTTTGGTAAGGCTGACAGGAACTTCACCAATCAGCCTACTAAGCAAGAAAGAAAAAGCCTCAAATGCGTGCTAAGTAAAATCCTAGCTAATCGCCATTGTCCATGCCACCAACAGCAGCTCTATAAAGCAATTTTCAGCTTCTAATAGTAGAAAGCATCTTAATTTAGCATTAGCCAAATGGTGAGTGCCGTTAACATCAGCTTCAGGATGGCTTCATGGACATGAAAGCTGAACTCATTAAGGCAAAACACAGTAAAACTGTCACCATATGCATGACTACACACAGCAGCAGAACTGTTTCAACATCTATCAACAGTACCTGCAAAAGCTTATATATTTAGAGAAATGTCTTTCTTCAATTGATAAAAAGCTCAGAATATCCAATGTCTATAACATACTAATCAACACAATAACTGGAATTCTATGGAAGCAAAAAGCAATAAAAAAATAACATAAAACTTTAAAATGAACAAGAAAATAGTCTCAAAACCCCAGTGAAAACATCCTGATGAACTGAAATTATGTACTCCCATTCCATATAATAACATTTAATGATTACTACATAGGAAAAGGTTTAACTGCAACCCTCCTTCAAATATAGATAAGGATTTGAAGCAGTAGTCATAAAGATGTATTGATAAGTATTTTTACCTCCCTATAGAAACTGACTCTACTTTAATATTTAATGCATTCGCATTTTTGATTCTACAACTATTTAAAAGGCATGCGCTTCTTCCCAGTAATCTGCCTCTTAATAACTTCCATCCTTTTCCAAAACCCACTTTGCATGCAGGAAATTAGAAACAGAAACTATGTGTTTGCTAAAATGGTTTAATTTGAAAACAGCCTCACCAAGAAAGGATCACAAGGCTGGGACTTGAGTTCACCCCACACAGTACCCTCCCAACTCTCTTGCCATGAATTCAGAAGTATTGTTTTGATATGGAAGGGCCAATATCATTCTAGGCAACCCCTCCATCCGGAGGTTTTAAGATTAAGAGAGGTATACCTCTTTAAGAGTAAAAATTATGATACACATTTCCAGCTACTTTTATCTGTATAGTGTCTAACATTTGATAACCAACAAATTAAAGTAATCAGAAGAGGACAAAAACCAGAATGTTAGGCTAATTACTAGACATCGTTCAAAACTATAGAATTATATATTTATACCTAATGCATGGATCCATTACTAACAGACAGACCCTTCCCTGTAACTAAAGAAAAAGACCACCACTTACAAAAAGGTATTTTATAAACTATTTGTAATACGAAAGCGCAATTAAGTTGAACAGCAAAGCATTATTTCTTTTGAAAGCAATTCCTGTGTTTAATAATAGAGAAGGCAAACCAAGAAGGCAATTAGATGGATGTTTTGGGGGGGGGGGGGATCCAACTATAACAGTAATTTGTCAGTGGCACCAAGAGCCAGAGAGATATTGTATTAGATTTTTCTTCACTGGATATGTTCAAACGGAAGCTGGACATTTAGAAAAAAAAATAGAGGTAATATGCATAAAGAAGCAAAGTGGGGAACAAACATATTGGGGAAGAGAGGGAAGCAAACAAACAATGAAAGAGAATGCATGTAATATAAAATAAACAATATAAATTAAAGTGATAAATGAACAGATTAAAAAGGAGATTGTTGCAAATATCAAGCACAATCGGTTTCTGGAGGGTGAAATATGTAACCAAACTACAGTATTCAAATTAGCCAAGCATATAATTCAAAGACACCACCTTCTAACAATACAGGCAGAATTTTGTCCACCTTTTCTCTTCTCCAAACATTAACAAGGGTTGAGCTAAAAAACTGCAAAAATAGGCAGGAACCTGTGGGAATTGGGGAGGATGGGGGGTGCCGTCCAGGGCCACCCCCCAACTCAAATCCGTAGCCACAGAGAGCCCTCCCCCGCTACAAACCAGCAAAAACCTCCTGAAAGTGAAGAGGAAGGAAAAAGAAATAAAAAGAAATAAAAACTTTCCAGGGAATAAACTAAGCTCAACTCAAAGCTCTGGAGCTAAAATATTGCATCCATGAGCACTGGCTGAGTTGAAAAAAACTGAGGAACGTCACCACGGAGGCAGAACCTCAGAAGTTTTTAACTCAGTCCATACAGCTACAGCCTAGAACAGGGGTGGGCAATTCTGGCTCTTTACAACCTGTGGACTTCAACTCCCAGAATTCCTGAGACAGCTTGGCTGTCTCAGGAATTCTGGGAGTTGAAGTCCACAGGTTGTAAAGAGAGCACAATTGCCCACCCCTGGCCTAAAATAACCCAGCCTGGCACCTCCCATTTCCACACTATGGGGAACAGGTCTGTTTTCCAAGATGAAGAAATCTTGTTGATGAGGATAGACTGGAATTTGTTTCAACCCGTATTTCAAAAGACGAATTTTCCCATAGCCTACTCAGAAAGCCTCACTTGGTTCCAGCATAGAGCAAAAAAAACATGGAATCATAGTTTTGAGTACTGCAGAAAAAGTCTCAGCTTCAAATTATTTATTACACTCCAACTAGCACGGGAGGGCTTAAGGACACAGATGGCTATTTTTTGGTCTTGTCGTCATCAAATGATCAAGACTGAAAGCAGACTCCTAAATATTTGCCAACCTCGAGCAAGAGACTGCTGATTTCCCAAATAGGCAGCAGTTGGTAAGATGGGGAATACGACTACCTTCATTTAGTGGAATTAAGTTGCAACTGATTAATGTGGCAGAATGTTGCTTGAAGTCTGAAGCCTCCGACAATCACTAATCTAGAATGACAGCAGTGTCAACACAAAGAGGCATGGAAGGGGATTACGCTCTGGGGTAGAGCCTGAATCACGCAATTAATATAAATATTTAATAAAAGTGGGGACTCCTCTTTTAAAGTGGGAATAAATAGAGAGAGACTTCCATTCATAGCACCTGTAAGTGTTAAGTATTTTTGTAGAATATAATATAGCTGGGAGGGAGTTAAAAAAATAATATATTAATTTGGTTGCCCGTTTCTTTCACACTTCTCTGGAGGAACTGATAGCATCTGTTGTGAATGCCCTTAGCTGGATTCCGGCATGAAGCGTACTGGCTGGGGAATTCTGGGAATAGAAGTCCACATATCTTTCAGTTGCCAAGTTTGAAAAACACTAGTTTAAATGAATATCTTCATTTCTACTTAATGGTAGGCTCCTTCCATGGATAAGTAGCAGTTTAATAACAACTCAGATATTCTATAGTCATTTGAATGGTAAACTCTCACAGCCAACTCTATCCTCATTGAAAAACAAACCACTTTCTAATACAACTTTGTGTTTTAATTGTTGTTTTTTACGATGCCTTTTTAAATGTACGCTGCCCAGGGTCTCAAATCATTATAAATATGACGTATAAATAAGTAAATAAAATGTATGAACTGCCAAAGCAGCTAAACACAATTTTCATTGAAGAAATCCAACCATCTCAATAATATGAGATCATAAAACATTATTTATTCTGGCACAATACCAAGAGCTATCTGACTGCAATTAAGGTTCTTTTAAAGCTAATTTAGAGACCCAATTAAGTATCAGGAGTTTCTTTTGAAATATATGCAAAGCAGAGAAATTATCTTTGTAATGGAGAATTCTGTAATTTAAAAAAAAAAAAATTTAACTGAAGAATTTCTTTACTGCCTAGTTCAAATGTAATTCTCTCCTACTCTGTGATTAAATTATTTATACCACAGCTAAATCATCCTTTATTTAGAATCTTTAAACATTAACCAGTCTATCTTATTATTGACACAGTTCAAGCATTTTTACTGAAAGTTTCACTTCCTTGATAAATTGATGGATGTTTCTTTTTTTGTAGATTGTGCATCTTTTCAGTAGATGAAATAAATTTAAAACATGTACTTCTAATTATTTCACAAGCAATTCATTGTATCACTTTAACAAATGTTCACAAATAAAGACTCTGGAATCAAATATATGCTACCTGCTATTGCTTAAACCCATTAATTACTTTTATAAAATCCAAGTTACTTCTATCAAACATCAAGCTACATAAAAATGCAGGATGGATAATCAAGACTTTGTTAGAAATTCTTCAGTTTGCTTTGGTTTCCTATTACCTGAATCACTTCAACACTTACATTGAATCCAAGGATGCTTTCAGTTTACTATTCCTTTTTCGATATACCTTTGTGTTGGAAGACTTCTAAAATAATATAATTCTGCATATTCAAAATTAGTGTCATTCTACACTTTAACATTAGGCATGTTAGAATGGAAAAGTGTTTCTAAGGACCCAGATATTCAGTTTTTCTACAAAGTTTGATCTCCAGAGGTGGATAAACACAGGCAGCTGAAAATTTGCTCATCTATTTTTGAGACATCTTGACATATCAAAGTCTCAATGTTATTTATTAGGATATATAATTATAATCCAATTAGCGTCAAGAAGCAGAAACTTTAAAAAATAAACAAATTAGTCTATTGGCCCACGGGGAGCAAATATCAACCTACAAGGTTGACTCTGCTATAGAAGATTAGATTAGATTTATATTATAATTTAACACAGTATTCAGACTCTCTCAATTTAATGATAAAACTCACACTTTAAAATTACTAATCGGGAAAATTCAGTTCATCTGTGTTCAGTAGTCATTTATTCTATGGATTTTCATCAAAAAATACAGATAAAAATTTGCTGCTTATTCTCAGCATAAGTAAATTAAGGTTTAATGAGTTAGTTCCCTCTACCTGAGTGGGCAAAACCACATGTGTTAAACAGCCAGGGATATGCTGACTTACCTGAATTGGAACTTGACTGGCTATCCTGGGAATAGCTCTCATTTCCATCCGAAGTGGATTGTTGCGAAGAAGCGGCAACTGTGGTTTGGCTTCTTTTTTTATTGACTTTCCGCTCCAATAGTCGTTCTTCGTCATCATCCTCGCTTTCGCTTAAGTCATCAAACCCAAAGTATTTAATTTTGTAATTGGAGCTCCCAGAGGTTCTGGACCCGCCTTCGCCACCCCCGCCTTCGTCGTTGTCGTCGAAGCCAAAAAATTCTAATTTGACGTCTTTCTTGGATTTGGTATTGCTAGGTCGGAATCGAGTTGTCGTCTTGGCCGTAGCGATGTCGGCTTTCTTCCGTAGACGGCCTGCTTCCCCCAGGTCAGTGGGCGCGGCTGTGGTGAATTCATCCATGCGGTCCATGGTGTCTTGTATGGTGACGTTGCAAACCGATAAGCAGGATGGATGGAGAACAGTGTAGTCTCTAGTCCTTCCTGTGCCTTTAAAACTGGTCCCACTACTTAGAGCAACCTTTCTTACTGGGTTCACACCATCTGCATTTGAATCACTGTTTGCTTTGGCTAGAGGTTGAAGAGTGCCATCCAGCAGCTTATCAAAATTTGACATTCCCTGCAATTTCGTTTTGCTTGATCTACAGTATGTCCGACAGTTACTCGGCCTGAGAACAGTTTGCATCAGTTCTTCGTTAATGGCTTCCTTTGGGCTCTCCATTTCTTCCTTGACTAGCTCTTCGTCCTTGTGTTTTATCTCTGAAAGCGGATCATCATCAAATCCTAACATATATTCTCCTCTTTGGGCATCCTCGTTCTCATCTTCCCAATCATATAAGCCAGTTATTAGCGACCCTTTAGTATGAGATACGTCCAAGGGAGAGTCTCTGTTGGCAATATGGCAATCCCAAGAGTCATGCGATTCCTTGAGTTCAATGTTGTATCCAGAAATTTCTGCTATTTGAGCGTTAACGCTATTGTCTTCAGCATTCTTGTACAGGAAATGGCTGTTCTCGTTGTCCTCGGGATAACTCAGTGCAGTATCTAGAAAATAAAAACCAGTGAAAGAAATATATACCTGACACTACAAACCGAAGTGAGTTTAACAGTATTTTTCATCAACAGCATTATAAAAGCAGATGTTTTGTAAAAAACATCTTCCCTATTTTGGCATATTTGACTTAAATAATACACATCTTGTTTAGAGTGTTTTTCCTAAACAATGATTGAAGGAAACAGTCGCATTGAGGAAGAAAAACACTTTTCTTGACTCAGCCTTCCATCCTTCCAAGGTGGGTAAAATGAGGACCCAAATTGTTGGGGGCAATATGCTGACTCTGTAAACCACTTATAGAGGGCTGTAAAACACTGTAAAATTAAGTCTAAGTGCTATTGCTATTGCTTTTGCCCAAGCAAGAGGGAAATTTTGGGGAAAATACCTCAATAAAATGACTAGCCATTATGTACAAGAGCCAGCAAAGGTTTATGTTGCACTATTTATTTATTTAATGAGATTTATATGCCGCCCTATCTCTAGCCGGACTCAGGGAGGCTCACAACAGTAAACATTAGAAACAGAGGCCAGTCAATCTCCCTCTCTCTCAGCTCAGCCTACCACGCAGGATAGTGTTTGTGGGAGACTGACACACTGCTCTTAGATAATAGCAGTGTTCCAATATTTGAGGGGCTGCCCAAAGGAAGGGGGGGTCAACCCCTCCAAAGCACCTGAAGACAGGTGCACCTGAAGATAGTCCAAAGCACCTGAAGACAAGACAAGAAGCAATGGATGGAAACTAATCAAGGAGAGAAGCAACCTAAAACTAAGGAGAAACTTCCTGACAGTGAGAACAATCAATCACTGTAACAGCTTGCTTGCAGAAGTTGTGGGTGCTTCATCGTTGGAGGCTTTTAAGAAGAAAATGGACAACTATTTGTCCAGAATGGTAGAGGGTCTCCTGCTTCAGCAGGGAGTAGACTAAAAGACCTCCAAGGTCCTTTCCAACTCTTGTTATTCTGTTATATAACTACATACCACATAAAAGTACTGCTATTAACAACGTATATGTCAGCCATTTTACATCTTACTGAAAGCAACACAGGTAGTACTAAAATTACGACCATAATTGAGCCTGAAATTACAGTCACAGGTTGTGGTCATTAAGCAGGTCACCATGGGACCGTGACCCATTTTACAACCTTTTTACAACCTAAGTGTAAACAACCCAAGTCACCCAGCCAGCTTTCATGCCTAAGACTAGAATTCACAATCTCCTGGTTTCTAATCTTGTGTTTTAACCAGTAGAAAGTATTGGCAAAACTTTTCGGCACCAAGTGCCAAAACAGGAGCATGCACGCGTGGGGGAACGCCAGAAACCAGAAGAGCAGCTCCCTGGCGCGCGCACACAGTGTGGCAGTTTAGAAGCAAAAAGAACCTCAGGCCTCAGAGCTTTATTTTATTGGGGGGTGTTCCTTGGAACCCTGACACGTGGGAGTGCCAGTAACCGGAATAGCAGTTCCCAGGTGCGCATGCGTGAGCTGGGAGACTGAGCTTCTGGTTTCTGGCGTGCACATGGCGCCAGTCACCTGGTCTTCCGTTTTTTGGCGTGCATGCAAAGACCAGCTGGTCTTCACGCATGCGGGAGCACCGAAAACCAGAAGCTCAGCTTCCCGGCACGCGCAGTTCCTTTTCTAGTGATCCTCAACATGCAATTTCCTTTTTTAAAAAACAACAGCTCCACAATGGAACAATATTTTCACTAAGTTGTCCACTATTGCTCTAAATTAGACTTTTCCTGGTGGTGAACATATATACATACATACATTTTCTATAGCCATCCATCTCAGTCAATGATTCTGGATGGCTTGCAATTCAAAAAACAGTTAGTTAAAATACTAGAAACGTTTTACAATATAAGCTGCATTCACCAAGTCTGAAAATTCCTGCTGAAGTTCTTAATTCCATGGGGGGGGGGGAGACTGGGGGGGGGGAAGAGGGAAGAAGGGGCTTGACTACAATAAATTAGTTGGTGTCTTTTGCAAACGTGGTTATCTCTCTTCTCATTTATAATTCCAGATCACTTATGAAAAGGTGAAAATATTGGGCCCAGTTTCCTAACATCTCTTTTGTTAGAACTCAGATTTGGAAGAAACTGAAGACAATTTCAGCATTACAACTACCTTATTTACGGCAGTGTGGTGTTGCACTGATAGACTAATGTTTGTATCAGAAGAGAAACATTAAGTAGACACCTCCCCAACTATAACTCAAGAATACGTGCACCAACGTACTATCAAAAAAGACAGAAGGTGTGATAAAACTCATTTTGATGCTTTTGAACATTAGATATCTCCAAACGGAGCAAAAAACCTGAACTCTATGAAATATTTTTTTTAAGAGGAGTATCTGCCATGGATAGATAAAATGATATATATTGGCAACAGTGGCCATCAGTATAGGACAGTATTGCAAATTATAACAGCTACATAATTTGCATGGTAAAAAGACTGCTGCAGGTAGCAGAATTTGCACATCACCCTAAACCACAATTTAGTGCAATTTAGATAAGCCACAAATCTCCTATTGTCCGTTTTCTTCAGTAGTTCTTGCTTTTCTGATTAAATTTCAGATCGTTATTTTGTTAGATGTTAGCTATGGTTAATCTTAAAAAGCTTTAATAATTTTTCAACTTGTTTGGATTAACAAACTAAATAACATATACTTAACGTGTACTTTATCAGTACAGACACTGTCCATAATTTAAGCTTTTAATCTCCCAGCCATGCAGAAGAGAGAGGCAGCCAAGCATTGTTCACTGTGGCTCATTTGGGTGACAATAAACTATGGTCTAATGTCACATACAGGTTACATACAATCTGATGCTCAAGCAAAATGCCTTTAAATCTTACAAAAAGTGTGGAAATCCAATGAAGATTTTTTTAAAAAAAAATTAGCACTCCAACGGTATTATGTCTACTAGCTGAAGTGCAAGGTGATGAGGACACAACTTTGTTTTAAACGGCTCATTTTCTAGGACTCAGAAAGAAACCAAAACAATTTCTTCACTCACACCTGAACCTTGCTTAATTTTATAAATATATGTGTATGTTACCATAATTTGACTAAATATGCAGGCACAGGCCTAGTGAATGAAGAGTTGTTATTTTAACAAGGATTTCAGGAATCCAGATGACTATTACTCTGTGGGATTTCATCTGAGTAAGTAAACACCATATGTTTTTCTTCCAATTCTTGAGCAGGTGGATTTCACTAATGAATAGTATTATTACCCTATGATTTTCACCCGAAGCTTGAGTTCTATTAAAACCTTCAATTTTGTATCCTTTTTTCAAGGCTCAGTATTTTCAAAAACCAACACACACACAAATTGTGTGTGTACACACACATACATATACAGATACACAGTTCTACATTAACACTTCATATGTAATTTAAAACAGTTGGACATTTATAGCAAGAGAACAAAACATGGCTCTTTTTCCCCCCTACTTATTCCTGCATTAACTTACTTTTATTCACAGGTGATATTTACATGTTTTAGCACTTGTTATATTCCTATCCTACCCCATGGGTAGAAAAGTACCCACTTTCAAGACACAGCAGAAGGCCATTACAATTACATTTCTATTCTATTTCCAATATGCACAGTTCTTTTAAGAAAACGCCTTCAATTAACACACTACTTAAACAGAGATGGTAAGTAATTGAATTTTAACTGTTCCAAAACTGAAAAGTATAAAGCCATTAAGCGGTAATCAGGTACACCCTACAGTTTTACAAAGATTGCTTAAGATTAGCAAAAAGCTTTGGATTTGTTGAAAATGTTATATAAATAGCAATAGTTAGTAGTTTTTAGCATATGAATGCAATGAAGTTTGATGAGTTTATTTGTAGATGCAAACCACCTGTAAACTGAATAGGAAATGGATTAAAGCATTGTAGAAAAGATAGCACTTCTGGTAACTTCCTGAAAGGAATTACCCAGGGTGGATAAAAATCGATTAAAAAAAATAATTAAAAAAAATCTATTTTTAAAATTTAAATTGGATTTTTATTATTTAAATCGGATTTTTTAAATCAAATTTATTTTAATAAAATGCTTTTGGAGTAAAAATCTATTTAAAGATAGTTTTCTATTTAAGATACATCAATAATTTAGTTTATTCAGCATGAAATGGAGCTTAGTTATGTAGCATGAGGCTGTATATTCTGCAATATTTACATTTTTGGTAAACTCACTTCAATGAGTCCAAGCTCTGCAAGCTAAATAGGAAACCTTCATTTTGTTTGCAAATAATAATATTAAAGATTCTAACTACCAACAAGAATGAGTCCTTACTTTTAAAGAGCATCTGTCATTTCAGATCCATCATGGAAGCACCTGTTAGTGGGCATCCACTCACCTGCTGTCTGCCACGTCCCTCACCTTGTTGTGTCGCTGCCGCATCACCAGCCATCCCATTAAAGTGAATGGGACCATCGGTGAGTCAACAGCGGGTCAGAGGAGGAGCCGCTGCAGGACAGAGATGACAGTTGCTCTTTAAAAATTATGATTTAAATCGAGCGGATTTAAATCAAGCTTTTTTACTAGTGATTTAAATCATGATTTAAATCGACTTGATTTAAACTGACTTGATTTAAATCAACTTAGGAGTCTTGGATCCAGATAGTTCTACAGCAATATTATTGTTTCCAAGAAATCACACACACCTCTACACAAATCACTGTAGGTGATGGTTCAAAAAACAGGCCCTGTGCTAGAGTGTATAGCAGATTTTAATGGCTTGGATTAGCAAAGTGACTGGGAAAAGAATAACAACGGATAGCTAAAATACCATTTAGAGGTACTGTATTCTATTTAAAGAAATCCTCCTTTAGGAGATAAAGAAAAATATGCCCATTTCAGACCAATGATCCTGCAACGTTCCTCTATATAAACTAATACAACACACTCGGTATAAGTATACAAACCTTGCTGTTCCAGGAAGTAAAAATGTCAGAGATGCCTATAACATTTTGTTTCTCATTCAGACCATGCCAATCCAGCCATTTTGGTAGCTTTCTAGAAGTCCCTTCTCCACCTCACCAACTCCCCCAGAAGCTAGCTTGGCATCATCCAGAGAAACAGAACACTTTGGCATTCACCAGAATATTTTGTTCCCAGAGTAGTTTTGTACATCCCTCCGTGAATGAGTTGTATTCTTTAATATCATGTTAGGGTTATACACTTTAACTGACAGATCCAGTACAGTACTGGAAGCATGAGTATTTTAAAACCGTACAAGATGTGTAAAGTTGGAAGATGTTGCTGACTCTGTACTAGTGCTATATGATAGGGAAGAGATTATGTTGAACAGGTGGCCTTTTGTATGAATTTCTTAACTTGGATTCACTTCACTTAAGGATTAAAAGGGTTCTGATATTGATGCTTTAACAATAAATTTAACATTTGGTTGTTCAGAAACAGATTAGGGAGACTAATTTGTCAAACGTTGTGAAGATTCTCATCTCCTTATGGTAAACTTCAGAATATGAGACGTATCTAAAACCGCCTTCTTCCCTGCCACCATTGCCAAGCACATGCCAATTGGAGTGATTCGAATCAGAAAACTAGCATTTGGCAAAGACAATGACTGGCTAGGTAGCTTGCCACACCAGCCTAACGGTCAACTTCGTGCACGACTACACTACGTGAGCATACCTGCGGCTAGAGGGATAGCACTGCTACTTCTGAAGTCTTCTTCTGCTGCGTTTCTGGCCAAATTCTTCTCTTTCAAATCATGCACGGCATTATCAAAAGACACCATTTTGCTGGCCAAGGCATCTTCACCAACCAAGGGAGGAAATTTGCTATTAGACTCAAGTACAGAAGAGAAGTCTCCAGGCTGAGAAGCTTCAAGTGACTCCAACTGAGCAGAGCCTTTGGCTTGGGACACGTTCTTGGAAGAAACTGGCAAAGATTCTTCATCGCTGTCAAATCCAAATGGATCTTCTATTGCTTCCTCTTCTACTTTGGGTTTCTTAGGGATCTCGGAAATATCTGGCTTGCTGTTGGGCCTCTTTTGGCCTAGCTTGGCCATAAAGGTAGTTTCTCCCCATTTTGTACTGAGAGTGGTCCGTTTGTTTGAAAAAACTTCATCAAATTTTGAATTGCCATTACCACCTTTCCTGCTATATGTCTTCCCAAATCTGGATGTCATTTTGACGCCTGTTTCATATTCTCTGTGGAAAGAAAAAAAATTGCTTTAAAATACAATTTCTATTTTATTTAAAAGAACATTTGCGTATTTCACATTTTAAAATGGTGAACAAAATCCTTGGCATTTCGAAGCTGCGTTTAAAAAAATCATTCAAGAGGTGATGAAACCACCCAAAATAAAGGCACGGTTCTTTACACGTTGCCTGCACAAATAGAAAATGCCCGAGAGTTGTTTTGAAGAAGTCTGCTTTCCCCCAAACAGTATGTCATGTGATATCAAGAAAATATTGTAAATGATTTTTTTTTTTTTGTTGACGTAAAACCACTTTTATCTATGGCTGAAAACTCTAACCACTCTCTATGTATAAATCAATATTGCAAGATGAAGAGAAGAAAACAGCTGAGGATGAAGGAACTGCTCTACATTTTAATGTCTCTTACAAGTGCAAGTTTTTTATAGTGAATATAAGCCAATGCCATCTGTCAAATTTCATCAACCCTGATACACAGATAAAGAAAATATGTCCTCCCTGCCCCCAAACATTGTGGATATTAATAAGGAATTTGAGAACGATACATATAATAAATGACTTTGGTTCTTCATCCAGCATATTTTCATAGATAAAAATGGACAACTGTTTACAGCTAAGCTTATAATACCTCAGCCTGATCCTGGAGGGCCATTCTCATGTCCTTATAAACTAGCCTACATAATGAATGAATTCGGACCATATAGTTAATGTATACTTCAACTTGTAATGTGATCCCAGAGAAGTCTGTCAAGTCTGTTTACTGTGGTAAACAAATCCTGTGAATGCAACCCGTATTTGTTAATACATTATCCCAAACACTCCGAGTCATATCCATTCAAAGTAGAGTGTATTGTACTAGCCAATTTCTAGGCAATAAATTATGACTGATTATTGCCAGAGAACCACACTTTTTTCACCAGTCTCAACTTAAAAAATGGTCCATGTATAAAACCCATTTTAAGAATACTCAGAGACTGGTATTTGACTAAAGAGCACAAACATTAACAAGCTTAACCTAAAGGCAGATTTAGATACTTGAATGTTAACTAGATTATAGTATTTACAATACAGAAGATCCAGTTAGACCACTGGCTTTCTACCTGAAAACACGCCTACAGTACTTGTTCATTGTACAGCTTTTCTGAACCCGAATGCTCCAGATGCATTAAAATATATCGAAGCTTTCTAGATATTAAGAGAGTGGGATTGCAGTGATCTGGAGATGTTTGTACAAAAAAAAAATGCTATCAGAATGAGCAAGTCCCAGGTGATCTGTACTCGTATAAGGAACTAACTTTGGCAGACACAGTAGGAACACTGGTGGCATTCATCAACATATTTTAGCTTTGGCTGCCAAATGATTTTTCTCACCAAGGAAGTCTACTGTCGGGAGACATGTTCAAGTGTAGTATTACTGGGAAGAAGAAGAAAAAAAAAACCCCAAGAGTGAACCAGAAGCTGCTGTCACAGACAAGAAATCTTATCTACCTTACATGGGTTTATAAAATGTTGATTAACAACTGGTATTTACATTTCGAAACTAAAAAGCAGGGTCAGCTCTGAATCCTTTTACCTATCCCTTCTTCCCAGTAAGCTTTGATCATACAATCCCGGTCCTGTCCCTTCACTATATCTAATTCCCCCCAATCCGATCCTGCCGGAGTGAGATTCCGTTTACCTGGTCCTTCTTCCCCCAAAAAGCTGTCCCTGACTGAGATCCAGAGTTTGCACTTCCACTGGCTTTCCCTCACTGTATCTAATTCAATCCTCCCCACCCTCCTCTTGGTTTTTCACTGGCAGGAATAATTTCAAGAAGCCCAAGATGTGCCAAGGCAAAACTTCAGTCAGCCTCTGCAGACTTGGCATTAAAAGAGAGAGAGAGAGAGAGAAGAAGAGAGAGCACCTTATTATCTTCCTTTTCTCTCCCTACAATTATGTCTAATTAGGCTAGGAAGTTTCAAGCTCCCAAACAGCTCAGCCGGAGCCTTAAATTAGACAAGCCTCGTCTGAAATGACTCCCTTAACCCACCATTGGGAAAAGCCGGGAGTACCTATAGGGACTTTCCTCCCTCCCTTCCTTCTGCTTTCCTCCCTATCTTCCTTCCTTCCTCTCCTTCCCTCCCTCCCTCTCTTCCTCTGCTTCCTTCCTCTGCTTTCCTCCCTATCTTTCTTCCTTCCTATCCTTCCCTCCCTCTCTCCCTCTTTCTCTGCTTCCCTCCCTCCCTCCCTCTCTCCCTCCCTATCTTCCTTCCTTCCTCTCCTTTCCTCTCCACTTCTCTCCCTCCCTCTTTCTCTGCTTCCCTCCCTCCCTATCTTTCTTCCTTCCTCTCCTTCCCTCTACTTCTTTCCCTCCCTCTTTTTCTCTGCTTCCCTCCCTCCCTATCTTCTCTGTTTCCTTCCCTCCCTCCCTTCCTCTCCTTCCCTCCTATCTTCCTTCCTTCCTCTGCTTTCCTCCCTCATCTTCCTTCCTTCCTCTCCTTCCTTCTTCTCCTTCCCTCCCTCCCTATCTTCCTCCCTTCCTCTCTCCCTCCCTATCTTCCTTCCTTCCTCTCCTTCCCTCCCTCCCTATCTTCCTTCCTTCTTCTCCTTCCTTCCCTCCCTCTCTCCCTCCCTTCCTTTGCTTCCCTTCCTTCCTCTTTCACTTTTCCTTTGTCATGGATATCCTCGGCCAGGCATCAAACAACGTCAACCACCACAACGCTGCCAAGAAAAGTTGCCTTGCCTGACACAAAGTGTTGAATGGATCCAGAATCAATCTCGCCACATCAAAGCCACGAAAAGGCGCATCCGGGATCCCCTCTCCGTCTTTTATTATTAGTATTATTATTAGTAGTAGTAGTATTATCATTAAAGAGGGCTGTGGGGGGGGAGAGAAAGACACGGCTAATGGGGGCCTCGAAAGCCAGCCCCCCCCTCCCCTCTCCTTTTTCTCAACTGCCCTCCATCCGCCCCACCCTCCCTCCCTCCCTCCCTCCCTCCCAGGGAAAGGGCCCAGAAGATGAAGGGCGGCCTTTGGTTCCCAATCCAGGCCAGGCCGCCTCTCCGCCGGGGGAGAAGCACGGGTACGTGCGTGGGGGGGGGGTGTCTCTGGGGGAGAGGAGGCCACCAGGAAATCCCCGCCTGACGGGCCGATCCGGGGCCGGGGCAGCCCCCACAGGGCCATTTCCGCCCCCAGCGCCTGCGTGGCTTTCCGCCGACAGACGCGCCTCCCGCCTCCATCCCCGGCCGAGGAGCGGCGTCGCCCCGTCCCAGGCTTCCCTTCAGCCCGGAGGAGGCCGGCGAGGCCCGAGGCCCGAGGGGGGCCGTGCCGCCTTACTTACCTCAGGAGGCCCGGGAGGAGCGGCGGGCAGGGCCTCCTCAGCCGCCGGCCGGGGCCGAGCGACTCTCCGCGGCCCGCCTAAGGCGGGAGGACGCGGCGTCGCCTCCGCCGCCCCCTGCGCCGCCGCTTCCTGCGCGCCGGGGGGAGGACGACGACTACGATGGCGGCGGTGCTGCGAGCAGGGCCCTGGACCATCGCGCCGCCATTTGCCCCCGCTGCTTCCGTCACGGAGCGCCGCCCCCCGGCCAGGACGCCGCCAATCCGCGCGCGCCTTACTCAACCAGCCCGACGGGCCCTCGCCGCGCCTGCGCAACGCCTCGCGGCGGGGCGCGGCCGGGCCCCACTGCGCATGCCAGCCCCGGGGGCTGCTGGGGATTGTAGGCGGCGGGAGATGGCTGTGCTGACTCAGCGCCCGGGGGAGGCTGGGAAGACTGAGCTGGCCGCGTTTCTTCCCCTCCCCCTCCCTCCCCACATAAACACACGCTTGGCTTCACAGTTCGGCCAGGCGGAGTGATCGGTGGGGCCTCCTTTTTGGAAGCACTTTTGGCTTCCAGGAGTGGCCCACGCCACTAGGATTTCCTGGTGGTCTCCCACCCAAAACGTTAACCAAGCCCACCCCGGTTTCAGGCGTTTTTTCACCACCTCAAAGTGCTGCCTAATATACCAAAATGGCATGATAATTGCTAGTGCTAGCAATGAAGCAAATTTATGTGGCGGCCCATGTCATTTTAAACTATAATAAGTTTAAAAATATGAATTAACTTAAAACAATTACTGTTAAAAAAAAAAAGATAAAGTAACAAAGGGATGGGAGTGCCACAAAGCCCCTTTTTGACATCAGTTTTGGTTGCTGACGGACACATTGTTTGCAAATAAATTAAATAAATAATTGTTTTTGACCAAGGCTTGCATCAGAAAACACAGTGCTCCCTTCATTGATTATCTCAGAAAAGAAAAAAGGGAAGGGAGGGGAGATGAGATGAGAAAAAACTACTGTCGTTTCTTTTACACGCAACCAAACCACTTGCGTGTATCCCAAAGACAGATCAAGCAGCTTCTTGAAGACTTAAGGGCGATTTGCTTTGAAGATAATATTAGAGAGATGGTTAATCTATGAAAGAAAAAAAAATTAGGCTGGAAAAATCTGGATGTATCTTCTAACTAACATCTAAGGCAAAAGCATTTATAAGCTCACAAAACCTTTTAATAAAACATGTTAGTCAGGGGAAAAAAAGATCTTCTTTTAAAAGATAAAAGCCACTAGCTTGCTCCAGGCTTCCATCTACCTCCAAACTGTTGCCTCAGAGATGGATACAGATTTAGATGGTATCTGGAGCCCTTGAAGGACACTGGTTTCCAGTTCCTTTAGTGTTAGGTTGACTACCTTCAACCTTGACCAATGTCACCCAGTGATCAATCAACCTTTTCAGGGAAGGAATTTGGGTGCATGTGGTCCCATAACTCCAACACCCCTGAAGGAGGATGACTTCACTTCATTTTTTGACTTGACATTGTTTGAAATTTTCTGACAGAACAATCAACCAGTGGAACAGAAGTTGCGTTCAGAAGTTGTGGGAGCTTCATCACTGGAGGCTTTCAAGAAGAGACTGGACTGCTGTCTGTCAGAAATGGTGTAGGGCCGTGAAGGCAAACCTATGGCACGCATGTCAGAGGTGGCGCACAGCGCCCTTTCTGACAGCACGTGAGCCATCGCCCCAGTTCAGCTCTGCTGTGCATGCATGTGCGCCTCCTGTCGGCCAGCTTCGGGTCTCTGCCACACGTGCGGAGGGGTGGGGTGGATATGGGGGCGTCACATGCGCATGCATGGGGGCACATGTGGAGACGGTGTGTGCACATGCGTGGGGGTCGTGTGTGGGGTGGTTGTGAACGCATGCATGGGGGCGAGCGCATGATGGTCGTGCCTGCATGCACAGGAGGCAGGGCACATGCAGGGGTCACGTCTGCTGGACGGGGGCTGCATGCGCGGCAGGCGCATTGCATTTGGGGGGTTCGGGCACGCATGCGTCCTTTGGGCACTCTGACCGAAAAAGGTTAGCCATCACTGGTGTAGGGTCTCCTGTTTGGGCTATGGGTTGGACTAGATGACCTACAAGGTCCCTTCCAACTCTGTTATTCTCTATCTATCTATCTATCTATCTATCTATCTATCTATCTATCTATCTATCTATTCTGTCCCCGTCTCACACACGCACACAAACAGACAGCCGGGGGTTAAATAAACTGGCAGACAACCAATTCTTCCGATAAGAAGCTTGGCAGCAACCCAGTAGCTGCTTGCCAAGAACTTTACTCAAAAACAAAATACCCACAGTCAAGAATTGTCCAGTTCGTAAAATAAATCCAAGGCCGATAATGTTGTTTCCAAAGATGCAATGTGACTTGATAGTAGTTAGTTTTGTCCGTCACAGAGTCTGAATGGCCACCTCACCCCCTTTTATACCCTGTGGGGTGTGGTCCAGTGACTCAGCTTAATCTCTGGCACGCCTTTTCTTCTGTTGCACGCGCTTACCTCTGCGACGCTGCCGAGGATCCAGCCAAGACCCATTTCCCTCATCACTGTCCACCTGTGGCTGCATGGACGTGCTTGGCCCCGGCCCTATCTCTTCATCTTCGGCGGACACCGAAGGCATTGCCAGAGAGGAGGGTCCTGGAGAGGGAGGCCTTGCCAACTCCTCTCCTTCACTCTCAGAGTCCTCTCCTGCCGATGACACAGGCTCAGGTAACGGAGCCACAACACTATCTAGCTATCTAATCAGCTGTTTCCTGGTATGCTCAGGCCCTCTGGTTGGCATCCAACTCATATCCAGGACTTGCGAAGTTCATTGTGAAGACTTTTCATCTGTGGTTTTGGAATAGATTTGGTCTTGATAAATAATTAAACTCAGGGTTGACTAAAACAACGCTACCAAAGAACCACCAAGACACTCCAACCAACACTCACAGGGCAAGCCACTAGACCAGGGGTCAAACTCAATTTCATGGAGGGCCACATCAGGATCTCAGAGGGCCGGGTTGGAGGGGGTAGGGGCTGGGCGTGGCCATGGTGGGCATGACACGGGACCGCAACTCCGCAGACATCGTTTTATAAACTTATAAAAATAGAGAGGCGTACGTTTCTGTGATTTTGTTTTTTTAATACTTACTTGATCTACTGGATCACCTTATGAAAGACCAGATCAAGAAACTGACTCCATAGGAAGACTAGAACTATAAATTATTGACATAGTGATGATGAACCTTTTTGGCACTGAGTGCCCAAACCGGAACGCATGTGTGCGTATGCCGGAGCCCTGGAAGCTCAAAGACCAGGTGGCCAGTGCACTTGCATGCGCCAGCCACCTTCCTGGGCACACATATGCGCCAGCCAGCTGGTCTCCGCACGTGCCAGAGTCCTGGAAACCCGAAGACCAGGTGGCCGACAGGTGCATGCGCACCAGCCAGCTGGTCTTCAAGCTTCCGGGGCTCTGGCGTGCACGTATGTTCCGGTTTGGGCACTTGATGCAGAAGACCAGCTGGTGACAGCTCGCATGCCCACAGAGAGGGCTTTGTGTAGGTTCGCCATTTTATTTATTTATTTATTTATTTATTTATTTATTTATTTATTTATTTATTGCGATTTATATGCTGCCTTTCTCCCTAGACTAGAGACTGAAGGCGGCTTACAAAATGACAAATTCCAATACAAATCACAATGAAATAAATTAAAATCAACAACCCTATTAAAAACCGTTTAAAATTATAACAGTGTATCCCCAAACGGATCAGTTGAGTTGACGAAAGAGCCACGTCTTCAGCTCGTGACTGAAGGAAAGAAGGTCGGGGACTATCCTGAGCTCGGTGGGCAATCCATTCCAGAGGGTTGGGGCTCCCACAGAGAATGCCCTCCTCCTGGGGGCCGTCAGCCGACATTGTTTGGCCGACGGCACCCTGAGGAGGCCGACTCTGTGAGAGCGCACAGGACGGTGGGAGAGCGCTGGAGATGGTCCTGCAAGTATCCCGGGCCTAAGCCATGAAGGGCTTTATAGGTGAGCACCAGCACCTTGAAATGTATCCGGAGCGCCACCGGCATCCAGTGCAGCTCACGCAGGAGAGGTGTTACACGGGAGTATCTAGACGCCCCCATAACTACCCGTGCGGCTGCGTTCTGGACTAGCTGGAGCCTCCGGACGCATCCCAAGGGCAGCCCCATGTAGAGGGTGTTACAGTAGTCCAACCTAGAGGTAACGAGGGCATGAGTGACCGTGGTGAGGGCATCCCGGTCTAGAAAAGGGCGCAACTGGCACACAAGACGCATCTGTGCGAAGGCCCCCCTGGTTACGGCCGTCAGATGGTCCTCTAAGGACAGCCGAGAATCCAGGAGGACACCCAAGTTGTGAACCCTATCAGAGGGAGCAAGAGTTTCTCCCCTGATCGTTAGAGATGGAACCTCCAGATCCTGGGATGCCGGTATCCACAGCCACTCAGTCTTCAAAGGGTTGAGTCTAAGTCTGTTCCTCCCCATCCAAACCCGCACCGCTTCCAGGCAGCGGGACATCACGGAAAGGGCATCCCTAGGGTGGTCAGGGGTGGAGATGTAAAGCTGGGTATCATCATTGATGATACCTCACCCCAAAACCACGAATGATCTCACCCAGCAGTTTCATGTAGATGTTAAAGAGCAGAGGGGAGAGAACCGATCCCTGAGGCACCCCACAAGTGAGAGGCCTCTGGGAGGATCCCTGACCCCCTGCCCAAACAAACTGCAGATGACCAGAGAGATAGGAGGAGAACCACTGTAAAACAGTGCCTCCTAACCCCATCTCCCCGAGCCGCTGCAGCAGGATACCATGGTCGATGGTATCGAAAGCCACTGAGAGGTCAAGAAGGACCAGGATGGAGGAACAACCCCCATCCCTGGCCCGCCAGAGATCATTTACTAGGGCGACCAATGCCGTTTCTGTGCTGTGACCACGCCTGAAACCAGATTGGTAACGATCGAGGTAGTCAGTTTCCTCCAGGAATTGAGGGAATTGCTACGCCACCACGGACTCAACAACCTTCGCTAAAAAGCGAAGGTTGGAGACTAGACGGTAGTTGTTAAGAACGTCAGGGTCCAGGTTAGGCTTCTTAAGGAGGGGTCGAACCACCGCCTCTTTGAGTGCAGCGAGGAAGACCCCCTCCTTTAATGAAGCGTTGACAACAGCCTGGATCCAGTCTCC